AACCCAGGGGATTTTTAACTGCCTTCATAACATTCCCAGAAAATGGAAGCAAAGACCTCAAAACCATTAAATTGTTGGCTTCTTTTTGCGGTGATATATATATTTTTCAATTTTATCCAAAGTGTAAAGTGACCATTAAGGGCTCACCACACGCACGCCTCTATGAAGGAAAAAACGAAACGAAGAAAAAAACCCAAACCCCAAACCAAGTTCTGTAATTAAGTTCTGTATGTATCATCTCGTTTTCTTGCGGCCTGTTAATTGAATTAAATTTTAATTTGCTAAATGAATTAAGAGCCGCGGCATGACGTCAAGTGCTTTTTTTTTGGGGTCAGGTCAAAGCACCTCAACCCTATCTATACCATATATATACCCATATGTGATATATTCACTTACGTGTTCTGTTTGCCGGGATGTTTGCTCACTTTATCGGGGCCGTAAACGAGAACCTGACCAAACCCATAATGACAAATGCGGCTCCAAAAAAAAGGAACTACTTGCAATAGCAGAAAGGCGATATGCGAAATGAGTCGAGCTTGAAAAATTTATAAAACATTACTCTTTTTAATGAAATTCAGAGCCATGGGGGAGAAATAAAATGCGTCAACTATATTAGTCAGCTGGATAATGGCAGCTATGCATTATTATCAAAAGCGCACCATATCAACGAAAGAATTAAAACTTAAGTCTAATTCCCTTGAGTTTTTAATGCTTAAATTAAAAATGTAATCTAACTAAGCTTAAAGTTTAGTTTATATAAGAAAAGATTATAAAATATAAATTAAATGCAAAGACTCATTCTAAAGGGAGTTTTAGTATATATGTTAATAAAAAAGATTATAAAAAAGGAGAGGCTAGAATTTATTTTCATAAATTAAAAACAAATGTCTTTCAACACGGAAACGAATGTGGAATAATTTCTAGTACCCTTCTGGATCTGCTGTACCCTTAATTGAATGCATTTCGAATGGAATACCATTGTATAATATTTCAGGGAAAGCCCTGCTTTTGACCCTTGAGCACAGCCCATCCATTTCATTTGCATTTCCATCTGCCCTGAACTCTCTTCTCTATTTTTTCCCACATTGCAATGGGCACGCACAATTCCGTTTAGTTTTGAACAGTTTGTATCTTTCTGCCCCGACTCACGCACTTTAAATGTAATTTTGTTGCGTAAGAGATGGGGGAGGGGGGCGTGGCTGTTGGAGGTCCAATGACTATAACTACCGGCCCTTCACGCATACGCTTAACACACTTCTCTGCCCGCATTTTCTATGCAAACACAAGCCGGGCAAAAGCCAGAGCTCCCAGCGAAGCGGAATGCGTGCCAAATGCGATTTGTAAATGAATGCTACACAGAGAGAATTTTCTTGCTAACGAAATTGCAATAACGAAAATCCAGGAATTTTATATATTTTATTCCGTTTTTGCTGAATGCATGCAATGACGCCCAGTAAAACTACGCCCATGGGAGTAAAAAAAAGAACTACGAACCAAAATTATCAAAATGCCTAATATGGGCGTTATTTCATTCGGCGTTATTGCATAAACTTAATATTGGTTGTGTTGTAACAAGAAATATTCCTTGTATGTTAACAAAAACTTGTATTAAACCATAATTAGATTAGGGATAAAGTTATTAATAATAAAATCAAATTATTAATAATTTTATAATAAATAAATATAATAATTGTCACTAAAACCCTCTACAAATAATCAAAAAAATGTATTTTGTATTGGGAAATATTTTCTTTTATAAGAGAAGTTCTTGTTCTTGTTGTCAGCTATACATTTTTTTAAATATTAGATTTATTATAATATTAATATTCAGTATTTTCAAAAGAAAACTGCTCCTTAATTTTATTTCAATTGCTTTAAAAGGGGGAACCTGGTGTATTTACCATTTGAAAAGGTTTATAAACATAAATAGGGTTTATAAATATACATATATATTTTTTTCCGGTGTATTAAAGATGGTTAGGCGTTTGCTGGGGAGGAGTAGCATGTAACCAGGGGGCAGAGACTACGACGCGGTCGCAACTCTTAGCACGATGGCGTTAATTGCTGGACGCCAAGTACGCGGCTCGCAAACAAAACCAACTTCAATCTGTTTTTTCCCCACACTTGAGACACATTTGCTTTGGCAATTTCTTGCTCGACTGCAGCAACTGGAACGCCTGCTGCTAATTGCTTAGATAACCAGGCAATCTAAACTTCTATTACCAAATTTACATATTTAAATATATACTTTTCTATACATTTTAGGACTACAATGGCGAGTGCCCGTACTCATTGTCTCCCGTCAGCGCCAAAAGCCAGAAGCTGTTGCGATCGCCGCGCAAGGCCACGCGCAAGATCTCGCGCATACCCTTCAAAGTCCTCGATGCGCCCGAGCTGCAGGACGACTTCTATCTGAACCTGGTCGACTGGTCGTCGCAGAATGTCCTGGCAGTGGGCCTGGGCAGCTGTGTGTATCTGTGGAGCGCTTGCACCAGTCAGGTGAGTTGGCCGGAAGGGGTAAATCCCTTTCATTTAACAGCCATTAAGGAAGCCAAGACTAATGAGTGTTTCCCCTTCGATTCCAGGTAACCCGCCTGTGTGATCTCAGTCCGGATGCGAATACGGTGACCTCGGTGTCGTGGAACGAGCGTGGCAACACCGTCGCCGTGGGCACTCATCACGGCTACGTGACCGTCTGGGATGTGGCGGCCAACAAGCAGATCAACAAGCTCAATGGCCATTCGGCCCGCGTGGGCGCCCTGGCCTGGAACAGTGACATCCTGTCGAGTGGTTCGCGAGATCGTTGGATCATCCAGCGGGATACGAGGACGCCGCAGCTGCAGTCGGAGCGACGCTTGGCCGGCCATAGGCAGGAGGTCTGCGGCCTCAAATGGTCGCCGGACAATCAGTACTTGGCCAGCGGCGGCAATGACAATCGGCTATACGTGTGGAATCAGCATTCCGTGAATCCCGTGCAATCCTACACGGAGCATATGGCGGCGGTGAAGGCGATTGCCTGGTCGCCACATCACCATGGACTGCTGGCCAGCGGCGGAGGAACGGCGGATCGGTGCATTCGATTCTGGAACACGCTGACGGGCCAGCCCATGCAGTGCGTGGACACGGGCTCGCAGGTGTGCAATCTGGCCTGGTCCAAGCACTCCTCGGAGCTGGTCTCCACGCACGGCTATTCGCAGAACCAGATTCTGGTCTGGAAGTATCCGTCCCTGACGCAGGTGGCCAAGCTGACGGGTCACTCGTATCGGGTGCTCTACTTGGCCCTGAGTCCCGATGGCGAGGCCATTGTCACGGGCGCCGGCGACGAGACGCTGCGATTCTGGAACGTATTCAGCAAGGCACGCAGCCAAAAGGAGAACAAATCCGTGCTAAATCTGTTTGCCAACATCAGATAGGGACAATAATCCAAGGACCGAAGACTGAGCGAGGCGCCAAAGGCAACAAACACAAAACAAAAGTGAAACAACAAATGAAAACTAAAAAACAAACCAATCAGCAAACCAAGCAGAAACCAACTAATCAACAAGCCTATATGCTATATACATATATACAAACGATTCTTGTTCATCAGTCGTTAGTAAATTTTAGTTACCACAGCAGCAATAGTTTAAAGAAATCTAAGTTAAGTCCTTTGTATAGAACGGTTATTAGCAACATTTATGTAGGAAAACACATGCAATTTATGAAGAAACAGAAGGAAAATCAATTAATGGCTGAAACAAGAACTGAAAAAAACAACTGAAACTAAGTCTATATAGGCCCATATACAAATATTATATATGGAAATTGTAAGTAATTGGATAAAACCAACAGCACCACACTCACATATACTATATATTTATAATCTACATTTTTTTGTTGCTTTTCTTACGTGTCTTTTTTTTTTAGTACCTACACTTAAGAGAATTGGATACATATATATATTTTTTTGCTAGCTTATAAGAAACTAACCTTATTTCAAGCCAACATTTATATCCAGCTCATTTCACTCACCGCCCAGACTCATAAAAGAACACACTATGTATATTAAATAAATTTATACAATTTCAAAATGTGCCCCAAAAAAGTATGCTAGTTTTTCTTTCGGCCTAGTGGAGTTTGAAACCGCGAAACGGGTACGCGGCTTTGGGGCTTAGTGGAGGCGCAATCCAAACGGGTGGAGCCCGCGAAATCCGCAAAGTGGGGAGCTTTTGTCTGCCACCTGTCTGCTGGGAGCTTTTCTTACTTTTTTAAAAATCTTTTTGCACTTTTTCATCTTCGATTTCGTGGGCGGGGCCAGGGGCGTAGCCAACAGCTTATAAATATGAGGGGTGTAACAAAATCTCAATTTAGATCTCCAAAAGTGTGCAACAATATATTCTTAGCTCGAAAGTACAACGAATTAAATTTATTAAGACGACTCTAATTTATTCACTTCCTACTTTTAGACACCTAAAAAGGGATTTCAATAACCTAGTGACTTGTATATTTGAAAGCAATTCTGATTTTTTACAGAAAAAATACCTTTTATTTTTATGAAATAATTTTTTTTTCTAAAAACAAACTTCTACAATAATAAATTCCATAATTTCGTATTAAAGAAAGAAAATTAATTAAATATAAAAAAAAACCTTTTCCGATCTCCTTAAACAATCTAAATGCTGAATCAATATTTTATGATGTATTTTTCATGGCTTAAATAATCTTAAATATTTTAAATGGTTTTTTTATAGTCACAAGAAACGCCTTTTTTTTCTTGAAATGGTTAAAATAAAAAATTAAATTTCCAAGCATTTAAAATAGAGGTTTTACTGACTTTAAGTGTCCACTGAATTATTGTTCTTGTATAATCTTTTTTTGTATGGCCAAAACCCCCTTGGCCACGCCTCTGGTCGGCCTGCAGCTTCCGCTGGCGACGACGACGCCGATTTTGTTGTAGTTGTAACTCGGTTTCTGTTTCTTGGCCTGGCTCTCTGCTTTTTCAATTTGTTGGTGTTTTTGTTCATGATTTTTTCTTGTCTTTTTTGGTTTTTGGCCAAGTCCAAGTTTAACAGCGCTCGACGCGCCAGAATCAAGTTCAGTTGCGCCGCAAACGCGTCGCGGAAATGTTTCGCTGCTGCTGCTGCAAACCGTCCCAAAGAAATCGAAATCTAAATTGAAATTGAAATTTAAAACCCATTAAACGAACGCGCCGCCGTCCCACAAAAATCCCGCATCCTTGTCAATAAAAAAAAAACCGATACAGCGAAACGGGAATCTAACCCGTTAAATACTTTTCACTTTTTTCCCAACCGTTCTCAGGTAAAAATTGAGCGTGCGTTTTTTTTTTAAGTTTTTAATGTGAAGTGCGTACAGCTGTCCTTGCGGTTTTGTTGTGGTTTTTCCTCCTGCTGCCTTTTGAAGGTCACTCACGCACGAAGGACGCGCCCAGGGGGTGGTGGCCGAAATGGGGGGCGGAATGGCCGAGTGGGCCAAATGTCAAAAGGTGAAGGCAGCCGCCAGGCGGCCTTGGGATTAAAGCGCAGCTTTCCCTGCCAACTGACAAGTGAAAGTGAGAGGAACCGAAAAATTAAGAACAGAATAAAGTTCAATTTGAAGGGACCGGTGATCCAAGTTCTTGAAAATGCAAACAATTTATTCCTTAAAATTAAGGATATATGGTGACTATTATTTGTGATTAATCAGCATGGATTCTTATTAGGTATCTACGTAAAAATATATAAAATGTCGATTCTAAAACTAAAAACTCTCCTTGAAAAACTAAGCATCAACATAAAATAATACAGTCCTTTAAACCAAGACTTACTTATATAGATTTTAAGTTCATATGACAAAATTAAGATAAAGGAAAAAAATGTTTTCAAAAAAGGTCTAATTCCTAAAAAAAGAGAAATAGTAGAATTTTTTTGAAGTTTAGTTAACTTTTTAAAGGAGCATTAAAATCAATCCTCAAATTGTAAATTTATTATGCACACTTCACAGAAGGGTGTAAATTTGTAGAGTCCATAAGAATTTAGAAACCATGTATTATTGAAAAAGTTACATTGAGTTATCCAATGAAACACTTAGATATGGTATTTAACCCAACCCTTGAAAGTGTTGATGAAAACCACCTTTTGAAAACCCCACCCAGTGTCCCCAAAAAAAGACGGCTCTTCAGCAGAACCTCTTGGCATTTGGCCAGCATTTGCATGTCAAACACTTCTCATCTCGAGTCGACTGATTTGTGGACACATCTAACTGGCAACTTGGTTAAATATTTGAGTGGTTGATAAGCAAGATCAACCCATCAGTTTTTGGCACATCCAATCCACGATGGCATTACCTCGACAAGCCGAGAAATTTACTTTTCGCCAATTGCGAAAGTCAACACAATATGTTCTTGACTAACTTCCGATCGATTTTACCGAGCCTAAATATCTTGAAAACTGTGAGAGTCGCTTCCTCTATTTCGGGCAATTAACGCCTTCGACTTTGCTTTCGGTTTCGCCTTTTAGTTTCGGTTTTAGTCTGAATCTGCTGAGGTTCCAATGGTCTATGGTGTACTATGACCATCTTTTGTCTTCCGACCTTGAGCGGGGGAGGGGGGCGTTCAATGACCGCCACTGTCCAGTTAGCTCTATGCATATTTATCCGCCTTTCGATCGAGATTCAAACCAAAGACAATGACCAGCCTCTGTTTGGCTTTTGATTGGCCCTAATTCGATCGTCTCCAGATGTCACCACTTTATGATAACTTTCCAAAATACGATGCTTCTGAAAAATAAGATATCGCCCCTAATTTGATCTTCTCTTTATGATTTTAGGAGGTGTTAAATATGATTATATGCCATATTATAATATGGGTAATATTTAAAAGTGTTAATAATATAACACAACTTTACGATACCGATTTCGATGAGGTTTTTAATAAATCAATAAAAGATCGTAACAATCCCATTGTTATATCATGGGTTTTAAATTGTCTAGAGATGGTAATAGATTATTTCGACCATTGATATTATTGAATTATAATACTAAAACTATAATAAGCACAAGAGGTAATTATAAAGTTAACTATGGATTGAAAGGTTTAACATTGTATAGGAAAAGTTTATGGTAACCTATGGGAATGACGATAAAATAGGACCCCCACATACCAATTAAATCTGAAAAATGACAGCTGTTCAGGCCAAGACCCCTATCGATTATCGTATAGAATAGTGGACTTAATGTGTGTATTCTGTACTTAAACTTGACCCCATTTTGGCCAGAGGACAAGGACGGCGATTCCTTTATGAACGGGGCACGTCGGAAGGTAAAGGTCTGCTCTGCGGCAATTACGGCGATTATCAGCCAAAAGATACACGGCTGTGACAGTCCGGCAATTACCACGTTTCGGCTGGAGAACTGGGGCCCCACAAGACCCCGCGCCGAGGGGGGATTACAACTTGTTATTGTGGCTTTTAAGAACCAGCGTTTTCATCTGCAGCGTGACATTCAAAATGCAAACGAACACCTCACAGCAAAAACCAGTTTCGGATGCGTCCAAGTGAAGGGCTTCACCACAAAAAAAAAAAAAAGAAAAAGAAAAAATATTAAATAAAAAACAACGGCTATCCAAAAACAGGAGATCGTTGATTGATGATCTGATCTGTGGATCCAAGACACGCCTGTTGACGCTTAAGATTTTAGTATATTTACCAGACATATCAGAGTTCAGGCTTTGACCAAGGTACAGAAACATTCCCCGGGGTTTAATGGCCCCCAAGCACTACAGTGAAACCTCCAACACTCGGGTCACACAATTTGCCAAATAAAACTCCAGTTATATAGCCTTTGAATTACATGCACTTATGTCGTAAAAAAAGGGTTTTTATACGTTTGGGATCATAAAAGGCGATTCGGGCACTATGTTTTGGTCTGCACGTTTTAGTATACCCCCAGTAATTACCTTAAATTTAAGTTTTCGAATTAGTTTTTCGGATGTTGATTGAATTTTTTCAAGGTACTTTGCTATAAACATAGTCGGAAAAAAATATTATAGCTTTCTTGGGGATAAAAAAGGTTCTAGATCAAATATATTTATAAAAATAATAATTGAGATCGTACGGGTTTTTAATTTCTTGACCGCACTTATGGGTAGTTTTAACTTCGATGTGATAGAATTTTGACTGTAATCTTTGACGATTTGATCCGATGCTGATCTCTTTCTGCTGAGTGACAGCTAAAAGCCGTAGTTATAGTGTCGGGAGGCGAACACAAAAGATCTATAAACGGTTTAAGTATCTGTTTGTTTTTTTTTCGAATTTACCTGCGAGTTGGGTCATTGTACTTGAGGTCTATAAACACACCGATGGAATTGGAAGTACGCGAACTCGATTCGCTTTTGATTTTAAATTTTTTGTTTTCGTTTTCTTTTGCACTGGCTCGATGGAAAGATCGAAAGACTGGCTTATAATGCCATGAAATTAAAAAGCAAAAGCATTGACATTGAAAATTATGCGAACAACAGAGGTCCAATATAACCAATATTTCAGGCAGGAAAAAGAAGAAGATGCCTTAGTATTATGTGTTTACACAGAGTTACTTGCGTTCACCGATAGAATGGAATGGTGTGGTAATTGATTACCAATTGTTGTCACTTGTCGGTGCGAACTATTAATGCGAATTGCGATTGATGGAGTCCGTAAATAACCATAAATGATAAATGCCATCGAAAACCAATTGATCTGCGGGCGAAACAATTCGCGAATGGAGTGACAGCCAAGTTCAACCGATGACAAGGGGGCAAGGCTCCGCCTCTGACTTTTTCCATGGGCGTGGTCTGATTATTTGCAGGGGGTATAATGTCTCAATAACATGTCAGGCTTAATGGTATAAGATGTATCTTTGTCTTTTGGACACATGTTTCTACCGAGTATCGATTTATTGCCATTCAAACATCTCAAGATTAACCTTTTTAATCTTAAACAATCATATTTCATTGTTTCTATTTCGTAGAATATCATGATTATAAGCAGCATTGTTGTATAATTTGAAAATTAACAGACAATAAAAATATATAGTTTACATATTCTTTATATTCATAATATTATTTTATATAAAAAATCATTTAGAAGGTTTAAGAATCGCCTTTTTTAAGCTATAAAAGGCTAGTTAATTAGCTTAAGTCTCTTAGTTAGCAGATTTATGATAATGAATTTAATTAACTTTAAAGAACTAAGTTTACTTTTCAAATTATCCTATAATTTGGTTTTTGATTAAGTGGATTTTAGTAGATTATTTCATAGATTTTCTACGTTGGTAACATACATATAATATCAGAAAAGAGATTTTTAATAAAATTTTTATTTTTAATTAAGGTAACAGTAAGTACTTGAAATCTAAAAACTTTTTATAGTATTTAGGGAGTTATGGCGTACAAATTCTTTGAAACTACGCCCATGGTCCAAAGTTCTCACGCTACCCCCCTCCGCGTTTCTCTTTGCTCCTCCCTTCTCACCAACTGCACTGCGAGTGACAGGGATGCAAGCTGTCTCCCCTCTCCCTCTGCCTCCCACGCACAGTGGAAACAATTGAACAATTGGGCAAACAACATAAATAATACTTATAGTAAGCGGTCGCAAGGTGTCATCATTAATTATTCTCCCGCTTTACAAGCCGAGTGGAACGTGATGGGTAAAATTGTTCCTTGGCCTGGCATTAAAAAATGTAACCAAATAATAACGTTAAGTAAACGCCAGGCAAACAGAAGAGCGAAGAATCAAGTTGGCGTCATAAATTGTCTTTTTTTTATCTTTTGTCTGATTTTTTTCTATTTTAACTAATTAACAGAGTCGGCCGGCCGGCCGGTGACCTTCACCTTTTGCGAGTTGGCCAAAAGCAAAGGTGGAAGGCAAAGAAGAGAAGCCAAAGAATTGGTAACAAGCTGACGCCTCCACCTTCAACTGACCCACTAAGAAAAATAAAGCGGCGCCGCTCTTCCTGACTGTTTATACGATTTTTTTTACCATTCAAAAACTTTTTTTTTATTTTATTCGAAGAGAGGGTCTTGGGGTAGGTCACTATCGCGGGGTCTCCAACTCCCCAACTTAATACCGTTCGTTCGTAAGCCATTGCCTTTTATTTTGCAAATTGTTTTGCCCGTCTTTTTTTTTATCTTTGCCCACGATCATTTGTTTTGCGCTGCCTTTTGTTTTGATCGTTGGGTTTACAGTGGTACAAATGGGGGAAAAAGAAAGGAAGTTAACAGTTCCAAAACCAATTCGTTGGATCCTAACTATCAGAATTATAGTTGGCTTTTAGGTACTTTAAACTGGTACTACAAATATTTGTGGAACATCTTTAAATTCATTTTATCAAGTATTATACGTTTCCAATATTTTAGAATTTTTGAGATCTAAAAAAACTAAATAGAACTGACATAAAGAGAGTAACCTCCACATTATATATTTCACACAACCTAATGTTCAACAGTAGTTCACTGTATCTGTAGCCCAACAAGACGGCATAAATATGGTAATTTGATCATATTAAACCAGTGATTATCATAACAAAATGTCTAGCTATATTATTCATACATGCAGATAATATTGATATAGTTTTGGAATGATAACTGCCTAATGCTTTATATGCTCCTCAATGTGACAATATTGGCAAGACAATATATGGAATGACGGTTATGAACACCAGACCACTGTGCACAGTTATGGATATTTGATTCTGTTTGTGGCCAGAGGTCATCTACGCGGTCCATAGAAATGCAAAAAGCGAGTTGCGGGCGATCGGATCGGCACTCAGCTGTTAATGATGGCCCACATATCATACCACACATACCCTCATGCCATATCGCCTCATTATCGCGCCGTCAGTTCGGCCAAGCAGATCTCGCACCGGATCGGCCCCGCCCCTTCCTTCTACGAAAGCCAAGTGATAAATGTGTATCTGAAATCCGAAACGAATTTTCTTGTCTATTCCGATCCCAGTTGGCGCCATGAGGGAACCGCTGCCCGTGGCGGTGGTGATGGTGGTGCTGCTCCTTTGGCTCGGTGCGGCGGTGCCACCCACTTCTGGATCGGCGGTCCTCATCTCCGACATGACCATGAGCGTTATGGTGGAGCTATCCTCCCGTCATCCCTTCTGCAAGATGCACACAGATCGGTGAGTCTTTCTATAAAATCAAAGATGTTATACAAAAATGTTACTTATAGATAGTATTATAAGTGAAATAACATTTCCTTACATAACTGAGATCATCTTAAAATAGTTTTGAATATTAGGAAGATGTTGAAAAAGAATGGATCTGAGAACATGGATCAAAAATTAATAATAATATTTGGAACCAGTAACTCATATATGGTTAGTACACTGAAGAACTTGTTACAAGGTTATTAAAATTCCTTAAAAACCAAATAAGGTTAGGTATTACTTGAAATATTTGTACTTGGTTAAAAGTTATTGAATCAGAGATGATATGAAGTGGAAAACAAAATATTATCACAATGATATCATCTTAAAAAAGTTTTAAATATTAAATAGCTCTTGAGAAGAAATGGATCTAAGAACAAGTAAATACATCTATGTATTTTGATATCAATTAAAAATAATATTTGGAACCAGTAACTTATACATGGATTATACCCTCAAGAACTTGTTAATAGGTTCTTAAAATGCTCTATTGTAAAAAAAAGGTTAGGTATTACTTGAAATATTTGTATTTGGTTAAAAGTTATTTAACCAGAGATGATATGGGCTGGACAAAAAATATTATCACAATGTTATAAAATATTTATGTAGCTGAAAGAACTAATAGCACTTTCCTATATCTCCCCTACCAGCGGCGATATCCAGCGGATGCTGCTGCAATCGGATCCGCGTCGCATCCGCCAGGTGCCGCGGGAATCGGTCATGGAGCTGGAGGAGGTGTGTCGCCGGCAGGGATCCTACGGCCATGAGTTCCGCGGCGGCCTGGGCTTCATCTATCCCGGCACCAAGTGGTGTGGTCCGGGCACAGCGGCCACCAGTTACGATGATCTGGGCGCCCATTCTCGCGAGGATCGCTGCTGTCGGGAGCACGACATGTGCCCGGATGTCCTCAATGTGGGCGAGTGCCGGCGGGGATTGTGCAATCGCGGAACCTTCACAAGGAGCCACTGCGATTGCGATGCCCGATTCCGGCGATGTTTGCAGGCGGCGAATACGGAGACGGCCAACACACTGGGCGCCATCTTCTACAATGTGGTGCAGGTGACGTGCTTCCAGGAGCGGAGTCCCTGCTCGGCGCACCAGAGGTTCGAGGACTTCTACTACCGCACCGACCACTGTCCGGCGGAATTCCGGCAGGCGGATCTCTACGTGCCGCCGCACGGGGACAATCTGATAGCCAAGATCCTGGCCCATCCGCAGGGTCGGGCCCTGGCCGCTCCAGCCTCAGCCTGGTCGAGTCCCGCCAAGACGACGGCCCGCCGTTGGGGCGTTAAGTTGGCCAGCGTCGGCCTGGCTGCGGTCAACATCCTGCGGGAGGTGGTGCAGCGACCCCGACTCCTGTGGGACAGCCTGCAGGCCCCCGTGAACAGGGAGCTCCCACCTTCCAGATACCAGGATCGGGGCTATCACTACGAGCGGCCCGGGCCTTCGTCCTACGGATATGGTGGTCACTACAGTGGTCGCGGCTACGGGGGCTTCGATTCCCCTTGGAGCTAGTGGCAAGAGTTACGAATGCCCCCCTGAAGACTGTTCCCCGCGTGGGTGGGTCGATTCCGGTGGTGTCCAAAAATACTTAACGGTCGGAGAGTAGTCCAAAGAAAATTTTAAGTTATATGGTTCTAGGAACTAGAGGTTAAAGTAGAAAAAAATTTTCAATTCAGGGTTGCCTTGCTTATCAAGATTCTAGGGTTTATAGGGTTGTTCAGTTTAAAACGAATCAATGGTTTTTAACTCAGGGTTATATTGCTTTACATGAAGTTTAAAGGGTTTTATTTAGAGTTTAAAGTAAAATATGGGCTTATAGCAAGTTTAAAAATAACAAAGGTTTATATAAAGTTAAAATTAAAATGGGGTTTTATATAGGGTTTTAAAAATCAGATAATTTTTCCATAAGAACATCTTTACCAAAGAAAAACGCAGTAGAACTAAATTACATTAACAACATATCGCCACTTTTTACCAGATGCTCTTAAGACAAAAGACGTGATTTCCAAGCTAATGACGCAGAAGTTTTCGTTTTATCCCGCTTTATATTCTGTTAAAGTTTCTTTATTAAAGGTGTTTATTATTCTGGAAAAGTTTCGTTATCACGGTCTTACCATCTTCGTGTGAAACGAGAATACTTGTATTGTTCTCATACAATACGCATTTAAATTAAATGCTATAAATGGGTTTTTCGCAAGATTCCCTTTGTGAGTAATTGAGTGATATAGGTTTTTAAGAGGACCACAATTTATATTAAACCAGGGGTTGAAATTAATAACATATCAGGATTTTTTTTACTATAACTTATAAGATTGGAAATATGTAAGCTGAACATTATAATTGTTAAATTTAATTCAGGAAATATAACCCATACCATTTCGAATATGACTAGGATACTCTCCACCCGGTAAATAATTTTAAAGACCAAAAAACCGACTCACCCCACTGTTCCCGTTTAGTATTAGTAGTCATAAGTTGCAGTTTCGGCTCCATTAGGGAGCTCTAGTCCTAGCCACTTAGCTGCATGTGTGATTGCCATTAATGTTCTGCATGTCCCGTGTTCACTAGTTCACCAGCTCACCCATAGCTATGCTGTACAATAAACGATTCACAAGAAACATTCGTTCCCTTTCCGGTTGTTCGATTCGATCAGAGCCGGATATAATCAAACGGAACAGGAGGCCATCTGCGCCCAGTGGCAGTACCAGCCATCGGAGAAGTACGTGCCCAGCCAGCCGAGGACCTCCTCTTAAGGAGAGACGTTGACGACCTGGACCAGCTCATGGACTCATGGAAACGGTTACAAATCTACAAGGCACTAGCTTATCCCACAGCTATAGCCATAGTTATTCTCGATTGCAATTCTTAAACCTGAACGAAAGCCGGAGATCAATTACAGCCGCACGAAACTAGATGGGGAAAATATAAATATATATTTTCATATATTGAACGCATACAAAACAGATGATCTATATATATATACACACGAAACGTACATATAAATAAATATATTTACCAAGATCAGAGCAATGGATGGTTTTTTCTTGCGCCCAAAAGTATTAAATTGTGGCTGATTCCAGTGGTTTGGGTTTGCATTGCATAGTTTTTGGGATCGGTGTCATAGAGAAGATAGCCCAAACATCTTCAATGCTTTCTTTTCTATATTTCAATAGTTAAACACAACCCCCCACCCATTGAATCTCTCAATTATAATTGTACTTTGATGTCCTTCTTGATCCTTACCATGGTAAAGATCAACCCTATTCGACTTTATTTGTTTTATCTCTTTTCTTTCTTGTTGTTAACTTGTATCGTCGTTTGCAAATGATAAAAAAGTATCTTTAATACAAAGTATTTCTGTGTATGGGGATGTGGATAGGCCAGTTACTTGACCAAAATCATATTCTTAGAGCAAACTGACCTGATTAGTTCGTCTTATCAAGGCGAACTTTACAAACTCAAATTCTTCACATATATATTTTAAAAGGGTTACAAAAAAACTCAACTCAAAGGCGTTTGAAAAAACGATTGGGTGGGGAAATGGGGCTTAGGTGGTCAGCTTTTCCAGCTGCTCCTCCTTTAGGCACGCAGGGCCACAAACTGTTGGAACACCTCCAATATGTGTGTGTCCAGGTCGGATGTGAAAAGCAGCGTTTCCAGTGTGCTGCTGTACTTCTGAACTTGCTCATGATGCTGCAAGAGAAATTACAGGGGTTACTAAAGGGTCAAACAATTTAAAGAAAGGGTTTATTACCATGAGGAAGACCTGTTGCAGTCGCCCAATGGTCCAGCGGTACCAATCCGTATCAGGATCACGGCCGTCCGTATCGGAGCGCAGAAGATGCTCGGAGAGGATCATGATGAATCGCTGGAAGACGATGAGGAACAGACGCTTCTGGTTCACATTCGCCGCCTCCAATTTCTCCTCCATGCGCTCGACCACCTGAATGTTATAAAGAAATTCCATAAGGATAGTGAAACATGGTATGGATATATTGGTTTAATAGGCAAACTCTGATCTCACCTCCTCGGAGGGTTTGTCGGCATGTGTGATAGGCTTCTTCCTCTTGTGTGAAGCATCATCCTCCGAATCGCTGGACGAAGAGTCCGCCTTCGCAAGCTTGTCCTTGGCCTCGCTCAATTCGGAATCTAGTTAAGGAACAAATCAGCCATTAAATCAAATATCCTGGCAAGCAGACACTCCAATACTCACTCAGCTTGATCACATGCTTGTTCATCTTCTTGATCGTCAGGTGGAGAATCTCCCAGAGATACATTTTGGTGAACTCGCCGGTCATCTCCTTGGAGAATATCCACGTGGCCACCGCCGAGCAGTCGACGATCTGCAGCTTGAGCAGCTTGTCGATCAAAACAACCATCATCTGCTGGTGCGAGGACCACAGCTCGTAGATGTTGTGCAGGATGCAGATCTGTGCCTCCTCCGTTTCGGCCAGGGCGCGGAATACCGAATGGAACTTGGAAATGGCCGCGAAGCTGTGCGAGAACGACTTCGAGCCCAAATTCAGCAGCGTCTGGACGAATACATCGATTTTCAGGGCATTAAAGCTGCCGTCGGACATCTCCTCACCGCTGTAGCCGCTGCTCGGGATGTCCTTCAGGATGTTGACCACCTCCTCGGGCGTGCATTTCTGCCGGATGGCCACCACCAGTTGATGGGCCACCGTGGTACCCGGCAGACTTGCTGTGTTCGGGGAAGAAAAGCGGAGAGATTCAGTGAGGAAATGATTCAGATAATTTGTTTACATGGTGGTGCCTTTGGTTTTTGGCGGGGTATATTGGTTTCAAGATCAGGTGAGATGGTATTGTTATCTCTTTCTTATTCAGTTATAAGAAAATTTCAGTTTTTTTTAAGGGAAGGGTTTAAAGGTGCGTATTTATGAGTTTTTCATGTAAGATGAAGAACATTGATTGGAATCCATCACATATACTTATATTTAAGTTTGAAAACGACATAGGTATATAGATTTCTTTCTTTTTTTATTTAGTTATAGTAATTATAGGTCTTTCCCCTTGGTATATAACTATAACTAGTATTTCCCTTAGTAGCTGATTTTGCTAGGGACCTGTTTGATATATTTCCTGTTTTAATGAAGCACCAGCTCGTCGATAGGCTTCCCACCAAGTGCGTTTGCCGTTGTCCCTAGTTAGGTGACACTTTCGTTGCAATTCGCATTTCATTGCTTGGTTATGTGGTTCGTGGCGTGGAACCAAGCGGCACCACTCCACATCCACATCGAAATCCAAGTAGACAACACCACCGACCAAAGCCACCCGAGAGGTGAGCTCTGCGTGGTGCGTTACTAATGACTACTGTGCTCCAGCCCAGGCAAACCACCTCACCTGCCCCCGAATTTCCCCGTCGCTCCCTCGATTACCTGCAGTTTATTGGCACTTACGTCAATTATGTCAAAGTGGAGATCGGTTCGGCAGGGTTTTCTTTTGGGGGGACGGGGGAGGGAGCTAAGCTAATTATGCGGCCATTTGGCAAGCCAATGTATTGGCAAATACGCAATTCATTTGCCCAATCCATTAATAGGTGGGAATCAGGCTAGGGATAGCAAAAATTAACAAGGAAATCCTTTATAACATACCTTAAATTCGGGGTGAATTCACTTATTAGAATACTGACTAACAAGCTGTCATATCATTTTGAAAACATTAGCCTTACTAACTCTTGAAATAAAGAAATTTCGGAGTGAGTTACGGAGTCCAATTCTTGTTAGTTTGGAAATCCTATAAAATATGTCTCTAATTTGGGGTAAGCTTATTACAATATAAACTAACCATCTGTTTAATAAAATATTATACCACCATTTTCTATCATATCATTCTTAAAACTTTACTTCAGTAACTCTTAAAACAAATACAATTCGGAGTCCCAAATTCTTGATGATTCTTTTTAAGCATTCTTCAAAACCTTCCAGCTTTAACCTTTAGTTCAAAACCCCAAGAGTTCCAACGATCTCTAGACAATGTCAATGGTTTGGGAGTTTGCATGTGTCAAGATCATGCGATGGTTTTTGTTTAGCAGCCAGTCAAAAAATTCGCACATATTCGGGGCTCACAATAATAACAGCATATATGTGCGGTACATTCCCCTCAAAAACACCCCGACTATCCATTCCATCGCCTCTAAATAGCTTTACTTAAAAGCCAGAATTAAAGATCTTTTCACGGGAATCTGATTTTCAGATCAAATTGAGCGTATCCAAAGGGGGGATGTACATTATACTTTCGTTCATCCAAGTGCTCCAGTGTAGTTCAATGTTGACGGGCGGGTTTATCTTATCGACCAGGTCATCTCGAGTTCGGAACAGGAAAGACAGAGAACCCTAGCAAGGTGAAATCGCCATACGGAACCGCCAGAAGAGAACGTCGAAAGCGAGGGATTTCAATGAGGAGGGGCATCGTCGAAAGGGAAACTCCAGCCAAGCGAACCACAACTCATATCTCAATGGAAATCTAAGGCAAAGTTTTGGGCTTAAATGGAGGCTATAGCCAAAATGAAATCAAACTCAAGAAGCACAGAAAGATCTATTGTATCATATGTGGCATAAGTAATACCCTCATATGGTTTAGGGTTCTTTTAGTTAGGCTATTATAAATATCATGGTGGGCAGACCAAATTGTATCTTAACAAGAGATTACTGTTTTAAGTATTACAGAGTTTTTAAGAACTTTAAAAAATTCCTATTGTGTATTTTTAGATTTTTTAGGTTGAGTACTTGTTTAATGGCTTTTAGCATGGGTCTTTGAGAGGTATTGTGAGCATTTGAAAAATGACCAACTTCCCAGTGGTTTTTAAAGACCGCCATTGTTTGGGAGGGTATCCAGCCGTGCTCCACATCTACACACTCGTTGGATTTCATTGGGTTAGATGGGTGTTTTCATGGGTGGTGGGGGTGCTGGGGGTCCGCCCTCCAACCGAGGGTGTTGCATAAATGCCTCCGATTCCGACGACTCCAGCTGCGACTTCAACTTCTCGGGGCGCCATGGACTCCATAAGCACATACTACATATATGCAAAAAGCCCAAAAGCCAAAGAAGCAAACGAAAAACACACACATGTCGGCTGCAGATTGCGCAAAAAGCCTCCGCCGCCGGCGACGCATCGCTTGGCTGCCCCAACGAAAGCAGCTTACAGTTCGAGTGGATGGATGGAGTCGGCTGATGGCCACAGAAGCTACCGAAGCTACAGAAGCCGCAGCTCCAGACGTCATCGTGGATTATTAGCGAGCGCAACTGGCGGACGCGTTTCAGTCGCTTTTTCAAGCGCGCGCAGCTCAAACGCATCTCAGAAAATCGGTGCCGCATTCGTTAACTTATTTTTTGTGTGACTTCTGTTTTTGTTGTGTGTTGATATTTATTTTTTGATGTGCTATTAGCCCAGACAATGAGGAATTTTTGCTGGCTACTTGCTCTTCCCATGGCAATCGTAAGTTGAGGGAAGGCATTGAGAAGTGACTGAGAAACAGGATTATTTAATTTGTTTAATAATCATTATACAAATTTTGGTTCAACAAAAAAAAGTGTTAGTCTGTGTGATTTTAAAATTTGCAGAAGTAATCTTGTTCTTGTAAATTATAGTCTTAGGACCTAAGCATAATAAAACCAAAATACTTTTCGGATAAACTTTCAAAAGGTCCTGACTTCAAATAATTTTATATTTTCTATTTTTTTGAATTTTTGTATTTTGGGATCCTAATTACGAACTAATCGGGTTTACATGGATCCTAAACAATTAAGTAGGGGCTTTTCAAATGAACAGCTATGCTTTCTTTTAAAAGATCACTTTCATTTTCTAAAATAACGTATGAACTCAAATTTTGAAGTTAGACATTAATGTCTATATATAAAACGGATAATAAAATCAAATTTTAAGAATACACTCTCTAAAAACGAAAAGTCAACAAGACTTTAAAAATAAAACTGGCTTTAAATATAATACTTTACTTTAAGGAAAAGTATAATATATACTCAAAGCTCAAAGCTTTTATAAAAGAATTGTTGAAACAAAATTATATTCTTTTTCTTTGTGTTTTTGCCCTAATCTCCATCGAATTTAGCTGCCCCTGGGCTGCGCCATTGTGGGTGCTGGACGGGATCTCCTACTGACGCCCAAGCCAGGACATCAGCTGACGGGCAAGCGGATCCTCTACGAGGAGCCGACCGAGGAGAGGGCCCAGAACCAGAGGCGGAGTCCCTTGGAGCGTCCCTGGGAGCGAACCCTGAAGCATGTGACGTACGTGACCCTCTTCACGGACTCGGCGGTGGGCGCAGCAGGTGGAAATCTCAGGTAAGATGGCCTGTTTGGCGCCGCACATCCTCCTGCCCGCCTATGGTTAAACCCAAGCTGATGCTCGGGCAGTCAACTGCATGAGTATCACGACTTCCTGCAGACTCCCTATGTGCCGGCGGATGCCCATGGTGGTGCTGCATTCGGAGGAGGAGCGCCATCCTCGCGCTTCGGTGATATCATGACCCTGGCCAAGGGCTATCTGGAGCAGCTGCCGGGACCGGGCAATGCATCCTATCGCTTCCTGGAGGGCGGCACTTGCTTCCAGCTCAAGTGTCCCACCTCAAATCCCAACCAGCGGCGGGCCTTGTGGCAGGTGCAGCGCATCCGGCATCGGGATGGGGACAAGGGTCGTCACTACCACTACGAGATGAAGTTCAGTGTGACGCCGTTGGACAACAAGGCCTGGCAGCCGCACCACCAGATGAGCTACATCCAGAAGGAGTCCGACTATCCCGGCAGTTTCGGGCGATTGACCCACGATCAGGGCTTCGCCCAGAGGCGCCAGGATAGGGAGAGGTATGCAGCAGCAGCAGCAGGAGCGGGAGCAGGTGCTAATGCCGAGCAATCGCAGGCCACCTTTGTCCATGGTATCTTCCAGCCAGCTCCGCCGCCCAAGCTCAACATTGGTGAGTATTTAAAGGGAGCCGTGCCGCAGGGTGGTCCCAAATTAGAGCTTTTCCCGGGACTCTTTAATCTGGGACTGCGTCCCAATTACGTGGCCCCAACGACGTTCCGTCCCAACTATCCGGCTGCCTTGAAATTCGGCACTCATCCGGAATTGGAAAGATTTCCCAGCCACCATGGTGATTTGGGTAGTGCCGGTCCTTTGGGTCCTGGAGAAGTGGCTTCCACTCCGGGCGCCGTGACCCATCATTTCCATCACCATTTCTATGTGACGCCTGGTGGCGGCGATGCCCGACTACATCCCGAGTTGGGCTATCGCTTGTCCAGCTCCTCTCCTCCTGAACAGACCACGCCAGCTAGCAATCCAGCCTCCCATTTATATCCCCATCATCAGACAGTGCAGTTTCCCAACTCCAATTCGGGTTCATCGGAATCTCTGGAGGAGCAGGAGCAGGATCTGCTGCTGCGTACCCCTCAGATTTACGGACAGGCTTCCAAGTACCAAACAGCCAAGCTGCCACCCTTGCTTATCTATGCGGGCGGCAGTCCTGGGGATGAGGACAAGTCCTTTGTGCAAAGCGAACCGCTGGAGGAGACCGTCTATCGCTATTCCGAGCCGGATCCACTGTATGTGCACCAGAATCCAATCGATGTGCTGCAGGATAAACAGCCCCAGGATGACAAAATCGAAAGGGGCCAGGATGCAGGGCAGGAAAGCTATCAGGAGCGAAACAGGGATCAAAAGCAAGGGGAGCAGCGGCCAGTGAGCAGTTTGGAGCAACCAGATGTGGTCACCACTGCAGCACCCACTACCCCAGAGACCCCATCGTCCACCACCACTGAGACAACAACCACAACTGAGAGAACTACACACGTAGTCCCCACAACAAGTGCGAGTAGCTTTGTATCCACCACCACGCACTTCAGTCCACTGCGCTCCATAAGTAGATATCGGACTACACCCAAAATAACAGCTGGTCGATCCACCACTACGACCACTTCCACCAGCACGGAACCGCCGCTGAGCAAGTGGGCCAAGCGGCGCAAGGAGCAGGACAGCAAGGCCAAGAGCAGTCTTCGCCACGAGGCCTTCGTCAGCACCACATCGACCAGCACTAGCACCAGCACCAGCACCACAACCACTACTCAAACTCCGCCTCCAACTACCACTGCAGCTACTCCTGCTCCACCACCACCGGCTCCACCCAGGGAAGTGGTGGAGGTGCTCACCCAGAAATCGGTCAGCCGATCTGTGAGCATCAAGGTGGGCGAGAACGGCGAGGAGATACCCATCATTGTGGACGACGAGGAGAACGAGGTGAAGCCAGTACCAAATAAATAAGACAACCTACTCTAAGCCTAGTCGTAAGCAGACTTTACCCCGAAATAAATGCAAGTAATCCGTATGGGAAGGGGCCAGACTCACCTGCCTCCTCGTTGGCGTACTTGTAATTGGGCACGGGCGTCATGGGGATCAGCTTGGCGTACGTCGTGGGCATCATCTCGGTGATGCGCTGGTGATACGAAAGGCTGTGGGAATAATATATACATAAGTAACTCGAAGCGTTTATTGAATGCCATAGCCTACCGCAGGCATTTCTGCAGCACCTCCTGGATGAACTTGGGCCGCGGGTGCTCGCCGTCGAGCAGCAGGCAGCTGTCCCACTCGTCCCAGGACCACGTGAACTTAAAGTTGCTCAGATGGTAGGAGAACCAATTGACGAACCGGTCGAAGCAGGACGTGTTCATCGAGTCGATCCGCATGAACAGAATCTCGGTGGCCTGGGCCAGGACCTGGGGCAGCGTGGCCGGCTGCAGTTTGCACAGTTCGATCAGAATGGAGCCGTAGCATATGTCCAGGTAGCGTGGTGTGGGCATGTGAAAGAGCTCGGCGAAGATCACCTCGACGATGCAGTACTCCAGCGGAATCTTATGCTTGAACGGGAAGCTGAGCAGCTGGGCGGCGCAGTCCTTGCGCTCGTGATGGTATGTCTCAATAATATGATGCAGATGCTCCTCAATCAGGAAGCGCTCTATCGAATGGGCACCCGGCAGATTGGGCCCATCGGGGCAGTCGGTGTAGTCGAACATGCGGTACACCACCCAGGGCATGGGGTACTCAAAGTTATCATGATGCGGCGGCGGTACAATCGCTGGCAGATTGTGCTGCAGTGCCTCGCAAAGTATAGAATCGAAGACCAAGTAGGGTCGTGGTATATGCTTCTCCGCCCAGTTGTCCTGCCGCAACTTGCGTATCTGGGCCCACAGGCAGTCCAAGTACTCCTCCTGTGGATGTGGCGCATCCGAGGACCACACCCGCAGCGCATTGTGATGCTTCTTCGAGCGTTTGTTCAGATAGACCTCGATGCGCAGTAATAGCGACTCCAGGGCAGACTCCTTCTTCTCATACAGGTCACGTCCCACCCAGGGCAATGTGGACAGCACAGCAAAGACGAACCAATCGCGCCGCACCTGGGGCACTGTGTCCTCGTTGGACACATCGATCATGGTGTCCAGCAGCTGGAGCAGACTGGTGGCCGAGATGACGTGGCAGTTGACCAGATCGGCCAGGAAGCGCAGCGAATAGCGGGCGGCATCCCAGCGGCACATCTTGAGGGATTCCTTGAAGGTCTTCACCATGTGATCCACGAACTCTCCGCCAAACTTGTAGTTCTTGGCATTGAGCAGGCCCACCAGCGTGGTGTAAACGGTGCACTTTTCGGGCATTCGCACGGCACAATCGGACAGGATACGCAGGATCTTGAGGCGAAAGGTGCCCAGATCGGCCTCCAGAACGGAAACGAGTCCCTCCAGATTGGACTCCACGGAGGAGGTGCTCCGCTCGCCCACACGCAGGATCAGCGACTCCAAACGATCCTCGATCTCCTGGTTCTCCGACACACGTCTACGCTTGTTGCGCCGGTGATCTGCAAAGGACTGCCGTTTAGAAAACGCCACTACTTCGCTGTGCATAGCGACTCCCACTTACCATAGCCCTCATCCTCCGTATCATGGGCCCGTCTGCGACTCATCTTGCCGTGAATTCGTTTTCGTTGCGAACTTCTTGAATTACCGTGGAGCGTTCCTTGGCCACCGGCACACAAAAACACGCTGATGGGGACACCTTTTGAGCTGGACTTCTCGGCGATCCTGGACGGGACTCGGTTGTCTGGCAATCCTTGCCGGCAGGTATAGTTCTCCGCTGCGAGTGCCAATTACCGTGCCAACTTTCGAAACGCTTTTGCGACAATTTTCACCAAAAAAACGCGATGCTTCTTTTTTTGCCAGCGATTTGCGGGTGTATCGATAACAGGGCTGAGCGGCGGCTGCCTATCGCGGACAGGGGCGGAGGGGGTTATAACTATTAGTTTATTACAGTGTATACACAGAATATGTGTGTCTATAATGTATGTTATTTATACCTTTTGCTTGAACATGACTAAAATATAATTTCATGGAAAAAATCTAGGGACTTTTATTACCTCCCAATAAAGTATTTCATTTCATATAAACATTTCTTGTATTTGGCTATATCTCCCATAGGAGAGGTGTTTTTAATTCAAAAAAAATTCTTCATTTTGGGTATTACCTAAACTGTTGAATTGCCAAATCGTTCAATTGTTGAATTGCTGAACTGACCGAAATTCAAAGATTTAACAGGAAAAGACTTTAAGGAATTAAATCCGAACCCCTTCCGGCGCCGTCACTGACAACACTATCGATAGTAATTGTAGCGCGAACGAGCGTGTCACGGGGAGGGCTCTGTGTTGCACACGTATATCGATAGGTGTACTCTGGTACAATTCAAAGTTATCGCAGTGCATCTAGACGAAGATGGGCTTTTTATCTCTTTTGCCACTGTGCCTTGGCCTCCTGGCGATCCTGCCCCGACCCCTCGAGTCCCTGGAGCCCCTGACAATGGGCGCCATTGGTTTTGGGGCCCTGGGACTGGGGACCTATTTCAAGGAGCACACCTACTGCCGGTTTACCGAGTGCTGCGATGACCGTAGCATTCCGGCAGATACAGGTTGTAAGTACATGTTACAAATCTATGTGTGCATTTCCATAATGGGTGTATTCCCCGAAAGTATTGAGCGAGAAGCTGCACCGTAGGCTTATTGGCCAGCACATCGTGACCCAGCATATTCTGCCAGCCATCATGGCTCACGTTAAAAAGCATAGCAACTCCCGGAAACCGCTGGTCATGAGCTTCCACGGGCAGCCCGGAACGGGCAAGAACTTTGTGGCCGATCTGATTGCCGACGCCTTGTATTTGGAGGGCTCCAAGTCGAGCTATGTGGCCAAGTATCTGGGACAGGCGGATTTCCCTCAAGCGGAACGAGTCGGCGAGTACAAGATGCGGATTAATCGAGAGGTGCGACAACATTTGCGCAACTGCCCGCGATCCTTGTTCATATTCGACGAGGTGGACAAGATGCCACCCGGTGTCTTCGATACACTCGCCTCGCTGGTGGACTACAATGCCTTTGCCGATGGCACGGATAATACGAAGGCCATCTTTATCTTCCTCTCGAATACGGCGGGCAGTCATATAGCCGATCATCTCGGTAATCTGATGAAGGGTGGAAAACTGCGCGAAGATACGCGCCTAAGTGACTTCGAACCGCTGCTGAGGAAAGCCGCCTACAACATGGATGGCGGGCTGAAGAAGACCACCATGATCGAGGCCCATGTCATCGATCATTACATTCCATTTTTGCCCATGGAAAAGGTGCATGTGGTCAAATGCCTGGAGGTGGAGTTTGGTAGGTGGGACAGACGTCCCAATCACAAGATCATCGATGAAATCATGGCCTCCTCCATCAGCTACGATCGCACGCACGGCCTGTTCGCCATTTCGGGCTGCAAGACGCTGGAGAAGAAGGTGGCAATGTCCATTAACTAGGGCACCAGTCCGAACAGTCCGCCACTGTGATGCCTTTTACACATATGTTGTTTTTGTATTTTTTTCAAAGTATTTTAAGGAATAAAGTGAATAGGGCATTTAACTACCAGGGATTCAGCCACTTGAGGCGGGCATCTTTGCGCAGCAGATCGGTATCAAGTCGCTTGGGCTGCTCATCGTAATCCTGGCGAGCTTCCAGGCGGCTTTCGATGGGTCCCAGATCCTTGGTGACCAGACACTCGCCGTTCTCCTTGAGTATCGTGTGCCGGACATCCTGGGCAGTGGGTTCGCCATAGGGAAATGTCACCGGGGTGACCTTGACCAGGTGCTTGATCTTCCACAGGCGGGCGTTGTTCTCGGGGATGTTCTTGACCACCGTGAAGTCGCTCTGCTTGCCATCGAGTCCCAGATCTTTGAGGATTCGTTTCTCCCAATAGGGATTGCCCTTCACCGGCTTGATGCGCTGCACCCGGAAAAGTTTCGCCGGCTCCACGGGGGGATCCTGGTGATCTGGAGTCCTGAAATAGGTCAAAGTATGGATAATCCACATATATGTGATGATTTTGGCAGCAGACACTCACCTGGGATAGTAGGTTATTCCCTCGAATTTCTGGCCATCTTTGTAGAGGAACTTCTTGTTGTGCTTCCCATAGCTGCGCACCGACCATGTGCTGCTCCTCAGTGGGGTCAGCAGCCTACCCAGGTTCATCCTAATTGAATATTTTAGCTATTTACCGGAAAAATGCAAAAGGAAAACAGCCTCGCTGTTGTTATGAAATACAATGCCTATCGATGGGCAGCACTGGACTGTGCTGTTAAGCGCATCTATCGTATTTTACAGCATGTAAATGCTAACCGTTTACTGTTAACCGCAAGAAACGTAACCGATTGCTGTTTAAATTCAAGGGCGGGAAAAGTAAATGCGGATAGTTAAAGTAAAAGATTTAATTTAAAGGATATATATTTTTCAAATATTATTTTTTTCTATTTTATATGCAACATAACTAGCTGCATTTATGGTTTTATTAATAAAGTTCGATTTTACAATTAAATAGAGCAAACAGCATCCAGGGGATGATTTCTTTTGGTGAAAAAAGAGGCGGTCTCTTAGAGAACTGAACGCCATTTTGTCAACTACAATTGGCGCTTCTCAGCGAGGGTGGATTATTTGGCATTGGTGGATTTTCCACAGAATAGGGATGTTTGGATTTTTGCTATAAAGGAAGCTGCAGCTTCCTGACCGGAAGTCAGTTCGATACGCGAATCCTTCGAGCGAACAGCCAAACGTAGTGAAAAACACGGATATCTTCAAGTCATCTCCAGGATCTAGGAATCCTCTGCACCTGTGACTGCTGTAAGTTAAAGTTTTAAAGTGTTCTTCTAAACCGAATATTCTGAGCCATTTTTTAAAGTGCCTTTAATGACCTCAAAAACTTCAAACGGCTAAAAAACATATACAAATTACTCTGAAACTCCAGGATTGCAATTGAAATGCTACTTTTTCTTTGGTGAACCAAAATTAGGCAAGAGAAAATCTTCCATAAACTGCTAAACAAATGGTAAACCAAAAAGCTTAAAAAAGTTGTAAACCAATTTTTTCAATTTTCATTTAAAACTTACTTATCGCTTTTTTTCTGGTCTACAAAAATTGTGAAAAATGAACAGATTTTTATGTTAAAAAATGAAATACACATTTTTTTCTAAATTAGAATGTAATCTTCAAATTAAAATCAAAGTATAAATTGTATTTTATTTAACTTGTAATTTCAAATATTACAATTTGAAATAAATAGTGCATACAGAAAGTAGAAAAGTGGAGTACAACATGAGAACCTATATTTTGTTTGTGCTCCTTTTGGCATAAGTTCTATAGTTTTAGAACCTCTGGGGACTTTAGTGACACCCTTGCAAGTTCTTCAAACTGGATCGGATATCCATCGATTCGGGGACACCAACTGCTTTTTCCGAAAACAAAACCCAAGAGAGCAATGGTCACGTCTTTGACTTGATGCAATTTGTGCGACTTTCCAGAGAAACCCACTAAATCCATACACTTACAGATATAAAATCATACGTAAACCGCAATAATACAAAAGGGTTTCCAAGTAGAGGGGTTACGAATCTTGAGGTTTGTCAACTCCCGCGGGCAAATAAACGTGCCGATTGTTCAGCTATTTGTGTAGGTGTGAAAATATGTTGCGAATAAACAATAAACACAATAAGTACAATAAAAATAAATGGAAATAATAGCAAACGCAAACAGAATCTGCCGAAAGGGGTGTGTCCTTCGAGGAGAACGACGCACTCGCACACCCTTCATCACAAATGTCCACAAATGAACCATAAATAATGCAAGTGGCGAACTATTTGATTTGAGGGCTTGCAGCTTTAAGGGTTAAGATTTCAGCACCATCTATCTTTGTACAATACTTCTAATTAATTCTATTTTATTTCTTAGAGCTTTGTGAGCAGCAACTGCTTATAAGATAGATATAAACTAAAATCTTGACATTGCCTAACATAACAATCTGCAGATTTTCAAAAAGTTAAGACACCAATTTTTAGAGATATGGCTCTTTAAAATTGGTACCCATTTTGTCATGTTGGAGGCATAAATATGTAAATCGGGGTCACCTTTTTGAAAAATAAGCGCAGAAATAAAAATGTTAAAGTAGGTGATTAGAGTTTGGAACCACAAACTCTTAGAGGCATGCAGCTTTAAAATCGGAATTCCTTTAATCAAGTTATGGCCTTTGGATTGTGCAGTTTTGGGTCACCATTTAGCAAATCCGGGAATACTTGGATTTGCAATTTCTTAAATTAATTCTGTACATCTAACCATGGGTTTTGTATTTATTTTTCAGCTTTCAGGAGCAGGCAGAGCAGACCCAGTACCAAAACAACCGCAATTCCCAAGTAGGAGATCAAAAACAAAAGCCCAAAGATGGTCTATGATATGACCCATATGGCGGCGGGTCCGCCGCAGAGCATTTCGCTGAGTCGCTACTACCTGCCCGATGAGGATGAGATGGTGGGGCCGAATAACCCGCATCTGGTCAACGAGGACTATGCGGCCAGTACGACCTTGGATATCGACAAGCGTTTCCAGGCGCGAATGGCCTGCGAAACGGCGGCCCAACCGGCACCGCCACCGCCGCCCACGCCGGCACCACGTCGCCGGACCACGCCCATTGCCCACCTGGATCCCTCGGAACTGGTGGGTCTGTCCCGGGAGGAGCGACGTCGCAGGCGGAGGGCCACTTTGAAATATAGGACGGCCCATGCGACGAGGGAGAGGATCCGCGTGGAGGCCTTCAATGTCTCCTTCGCCGAGCTGCGCAAGCTGCTGCCCACCTTGCCGCCAGACAAGAAGCTCTCCAAGATCGAGATCCTCAAGCTGGCCATCTGCTACATTGCCTATCTGAATCACGTGCTGGAGACCCCCTGAGACAGCGCCGGCGCCTCCAGCTTCGCCACCAGCTGCCTCTTCAACGAGGCCAACTTTTTCGCCCCCCCGTAGGAGGTGGGGGGGCGATGCACCCGGGATCAGGGGGCGTGGCCGGCAAGGTCAGCAGAAAAGGCTACGGGTATCCTATATCAGATGAACGTATAACTTGGAAACCCCACACCTTACGCCCACTAATCAGAGTGTAATATTATTTACTGAGAACACCAAGTTTCAAGGCTACGCTAAGCAATGGTTACAAAAATTGTTTTAACCAGAGGTTAGTAAACTGATTGTCCTATATCAGATGAACGCATAACTTGGAAACCCCACACCTTACGCCCACTAATCAGAGTGTAATATTATTTACTGTGAACACCAAGTTTCAAGGCTACGCTAAGCAATGGTTACAAAAATTGTTTTAACCAGAGGTTAGTAAACTGATTGTCCCATATCAGATGAACGCATAACTTGGAAACCCCACACCTTACGCCCACTAATCAGAGTGTAATATTATTTACTGTGAACACCAAGTTTCAAGGCTACGCTAAGCAATGGTTACAAAAATTGTTTTAGCCAGAGGTTAGTAAACTGAATGTCAGGAAAAGAGTCAATGGTCTGCCTTAATCAACCGACGCATTTTCAATCGCGCTGCTTATTAAAGGGTTGACCTATACTTAATCATAAAACTATTTAAACAAAACTTCAAACTGACCAGCTAACCTACACTTATATTATTTAACCACTGGATGGTAAACTGACTAGTCAAAGTCCCTGTTGAAAAAGAAACTGGACACTGGAATGTCCAATAAAACTTTTTTGTTTTGTTTTGTATGTACATTTTTTGTATAGAAATTCAAGTCCCTATTTCATGCTAGCTTATGATAACAACATTTAACCAAAGGTTAAAATGCTTATTCTTATAACACTTAAAAATGTCCACATCAGTATTAGACAATTGAATTAAGTTTCTTAATTTTCCTGTTAGGAAAATAAGGAACATGGTAATATAAACTATCATAAGACAATTCTGTACATTTGTTTAGCTCTTTATTTTCGAAACCCGATTAAATTAAGTTAAGATGTAACATTACATTTTCCAATGTTAATATAGTTTGGAATACATGAAAAATTAACCAAAACCATTTATTGTAATATATATGCTTATATAAAAATATATGATATATGTACATGTAACCGAATAACCTTAAACCAGAGATTTACTAACATTTAGGACTAATCAATATTCATTTTTTTTTGTCTAGCTTTAAGACGTGATATTTGTTTATAAACTAACTAACTAAACTGTGTGTGTTAGCCAGTCAAACAATAAATATACATATGGTAAAAGGAATAAATAGCTTGTTCATGGATTATTTGATGCATTTTCATGCTTTTGCTCAACCTCTCGACTCAAAACTCCCCCTGGCTTTTGGACCTCAGCTGCTGGGGCTGAGTTTTCCATTTGTTTGGACGTTTTGCTGGGAAAAGCCAGATGCTAACCGACTCCCCCTGCCCCACAACCTGCGTATCCCCACAAAAACGGGCGTGTCCTTGGTGAAAAGCACCGCCCCTTTGGAAAACAGAGTGGCCTGTGCCTCAGTTTTCAGACTCAAACTGTATTTAAATACAAAATTTAATTTTTTATTTCGAAATTCGGGAAAAGAAATTACAAATTCTAAAATGGCCCTTCATTTTAGCGCCCAGCAGGTGAGCAAAAAATCAAAACACCCTGTATTTTTGCTTATTGGGAGGCTGTATTCTATATCTATAAATAACGGCCTAATTTGGTTGGTACGGGTAACGGTATACATATGTACCTATCTGCATATATATGTATAAATCCATGGATGTAATCATTTTCGCAACGATAACAACAATAACAACAACAACGTGGCAATGGCAACCAATTTGATGCCTTGCCATCCCTTTCTATCCCCATAAAACGAAGCTTGCATTCCGACAGTCTGCAGTTTGTCCCTGTATGGGTGCTATTCTCGTGGGTGTGGGTGTACAGACGTCTATAAACAAAAACAACGCACAGGCGACAAAAGTGTTTTTTTAAATAAAAGAGGATGTATAATCTAAGTGTAATATAAATATTTTTTCTTTTCATTGGTAGTTTATTTTTGATAAATTTAGGTTAGTTCCTTTTTTTTATTAGCCACTAATTGTACCTAATTAATTAGAAGTACCTAATGTTATTGTTAATAAAAAATAAGCAAGAAAGACATAAGTTTTGATAATTATCAATGAAAAGTGTTTGAAAAATGTTTTTTTTTAATAAAAACTAGTAACTATTTTTGTTAAGAATATTTTTTAAAAACATTGTTTTTGTGAGTAATTTATTTTCGAAAAATAATGTATTCAAATTATTTTCGAATTTCTTTTTTTTTTTATTTCTATCTGAACTCGTTTTTGGTTTTCTTTCATTTATAATAAAAGGTTAATTCCTTTTTTTGATTAGACACAAATTGTACCTAATTAGTTGTACCTAATGTTCCGGTTAATAAAAGATAAGAAAGAAAGATATAAAGATATAAATGTTTGAAAAAGGGTTTTTTCTAGTAAAAACGAGTGATTTTTTTTGTTAAGGATATTTTTTAAAAACATGTCGCCTGTGTTGGGACTGTTGTTTTTGAGTGACGTACGCATCCCGTAACCGTTACCGTTACCGCTACCGTTCCCGTTTCGGCCCGCTCCGCTTTTGTTTTTTCGCCCCCCTTTTGCACATTTGCAAATAGCGACAGTTAAAGTTTATTTACTTGGTAACGGTAACTTTGGACCAGGCCTTTTGCCTTTTTGGCCCCCTTCGATTGCGATTGCCAGGCAACTCGATTTCGGAGTCCCGAGTTATTTCCCATATACACACACAATCGCAACGGAATCGGTTAACTGAAGAGGTGAAGGAATTTCGAAAACCAAAATAATATTCGATTTGCCATTCAAACTTTGGAATTGAAATACCTTGGATGGCTTAATTTAATGGTTTTCCAATTGGCCAAGACGACAGCTGTTTGGGAAATTGATTAGAGGAGTGGTGGGAGGAACCACAGGATACGAAGGATTGGACCAAAGGACATTCGGCTGCAGAGCGTGAAATTAGCTTAAGTGTTTGTCGCCGCGACCAGGACAAAAGGAAAAAAAAAGAGGAGAAGGAGCAGAAGGACTTTTACCACCCGTAAGTCCTTGGCTACAAGTGCAGCAGGAGATACGATACAAAAGTACCTCATAGAACAGGCTAACCCATACCATACCACACCATACCATCCCATCCATATCCAGGCTTGCACGTGTTTTCCAACTAGCTTTTTGACTGTCTAATCCTGCGGATGCGAGTGCAAGGACACCATGTGATAAATTGCACCCCAGAGGGTTGCCATAAAAATCATCGCTTCGCCTGAGAGGGGTGACCTCTGCCCATTGGGGGTGCGAACTATCCTATCTATTCTATACCCAATCCATGGCCATCCTATAGCAATCTTAATCACAATCCCATCCATCTGGGCCAAGTGTTGTAATCGGGTGTCCGTTAAACGCCAGCTCTTTTGTTGCTAATTGAGTTTAAAATCAATTTGTATTTTTCACGCTGGAATTTGTTCGAGCGTTCGAGAGGAAGTGGAAATGGATGTGGAAGTGGTTGTGGAAGTGGAAGCGGAAGTATTGTGTAATTGCCGTGTAAATTTAATTACAGTGGCAACATCTCGATTGTGGAGAATGTGGGTGACCAGCAGGCACGCGCTGCGAACGTGTGCCTTCGTTGTCACTCCCCCAAATCACCCATTGTGGCACCCATTGGAACACCCATCGGAACACCCACTGCACCACCCACACCACCCATCGATCAAGGCCTCAATCAAGTGCTGACAACCCAGCTTCCCGGTATCGAGTTACCAACAACCAGCGGTTGCCCATTTGCATTCCTTAATTGAAATCCGTCCGCGTGGGAAGACATCTCTTTTCAGCTTCAAAGGTCCTTGAAGTTGCTCTCCCATAGATCTATATAACCTATAAACTTTATTTACCACTCAATTTGGTAAACTCTTGATTAAAACAGTTTTGAATTCTTTCTTGGCAGCATCGTTTTCTAAAAGATAAATATAGTTCCCTTTATATAAACAAGTTTTAGAGGTACTTGAGATAAACTTTTCTTTATCACTAAATTCAAATCCTTTCTGGTTAAAAAGGGTCTTAAACTCTGTCCTGACAGCTTTTTTCTAAATTAAAAATAAAGTTCCCTTTATATAGAAAATTTTAGCGAGTTTAATTTTGTAATATGAGAGAGATCATAATCCTAACTATCCACATCCTAAGTGTATTTACTTTTTTTAAAAAGTCATTGCAAATTTTTAAATACCTTAAAATTAAAAGTTCTTATCTTAATATTATTATTGTTTGTTAGACAATGAATTTTCCATGGTATGATTTTTTAAACTAACAAACCTATATCTATGCATGTAAACAAACAATCATAACCAAATTGAAACCTTTTTTTAAATATGTTACAATTTTGTAATTTAATTTTAATGATGATAAATAATTTTCATGAATTGCAGACATATTGCCATGCTTTATCGTTCCATATTTCTCGTACTCCTATACCTGCTATAAGGTAATCCCCCTGATAAATGACCCGGGCTTAAAGATCAGAGTCTCGTTTTTTAACGCTCCTGGCCTTAACTTTCGAAAGGCAAACACAAACAAGGCATTAAGTGGCATTAGACGAATGCCTTTCTACACATGTTCCGGCGTAGAGATTACGCCGTGTAATTGGCCCCACCTCCCGCCTTCTTTTTTTGTTCCGGGGTTGGTTCCGGTTTTCGCCCTCGGGGTGGGCTTTTTTATCAATTGGTTTGTTTGCCCGGGGACCATAAATAAGGGAATTACTTGAGGGGAGTGGAGAGAAGGGGACGTTTTCCTAACAGGTGTCTATCGACTCCTGGCTAATCCCCCTTAACCCAGGCTCCCCTTCATCCATATCCCTTCTATACTTTTGTATCGACCTCTGTTTATTGCAGTTTGAGGGCCGATTTGAGTCGAAGCGGCTCAACAACTGGGAGTACCCGCGTTTCTCACCACCCCGCCCACGAGGACTCAAGAAAAACGCCAAGGTCGTGGCCGCCAAAAACGGACACCTGCTGCCAGGAGTGAAAAAGTAAGCAATTTGTATTCCCCACACAAAAAAACATACCTATATATATAAAGAAAAGATATAAAATCAATTTTTTAAGGCCCAGAATTTAAGATTACAAAAGTTAAGGTTAAGTTCGGGTCAATTTCTCAAAGTGCAGTTAAAAAGAATGAAAATTCTGTATGCAATTTTAAATAACTATTAGCAATTGCATTTCAGACATTTCTAAAATTAAATATTTCCCCAGAGTCAGGCTTCCACTAAACTCTTTTGTGGTTTTTCATTTGGTAGCTTTCTGAAACAATCTTGTTTTTAACCGTAAGACTGAAGACTAATATTCTTAGGTACTGAACCTATTACTTTTTATTTTATAATTCCCAAAAATAATCCCCAGGGAGGGCAACTCCTTTGGCCAATATCGTGGGACCTACGAACTGCCCCGTCGGATATCGCGTAGCTTTTGTGCCCACTACGATGCCTGTTTGAGTGGGCGTTACAAGTTCAGCGGATTTCCCCGCGACCTTTGCAGTTGCCAGCGGGAAAACCGAAGGGCACTGGCCTGTGACCAGCGGACGACCTTGGGCCAGGAGGGCGATCCCCATTGGATGCGCCAGAAGTGCCAGACCAAGTGCGAGGGCCTCCAGCAGATCAAGGATCTGCACGAGCGGAGCCAGCGCTGCAAGCGCGCCAAGTGCCAAGTGGTGGTGAGTGGGCATCGGGATAGGGATCGGAATTGGGGTCACCATGTAACCCATAAAGCATATATATAAATTCACTAAGTACACCCAGGAAAAGTACCCTTTTAAGACTATACGAATCATGGATCATTATATACATATGTATCACTTAACTTATTACTTATAAATTGGAGTAGTCTAACTTTTTTGTGGGTAGACTAAATTTCCCAAGTCACGTTCACAATATCACCTTAAAAACTCACAAACATCTAACTAAATATTGAACCTCAGGTTAACCTTCGTTACTTTAAACAACGCATAAAACACTGTTTAAGCATTAACCGGAGGTAACAAAAGTATTTTCAAAAAGTAGCACAAATATAAATATGTAACACACATTTTCTGTATTATCTGAATATTTCATCATCACTATATCTAACTAAATGTAGTAACCTTAGGTGTACCTTCATTATTTTATTTATGTCTAAGCACTAACCGTAGGTTACAAAAGTATTTTGAAAAACAAGCACAAAAATAAATACTTAACACACATTTTCTTCATTATCTGAGTATTTCACCATCACTTTCACTTTATTATGCACCTGCACTTATTCATAGAGCGAAAAGACCGTGAAGATGCCCCCGAAGGTGTCCAAGGTGGCCTGTGTGGCCATCGAAAAGAGGCGTCGTAGACGCACAATTACCGCCTTTGCCAAAGGTCGACCTGCAATGCATGCCAATGAATCCACGGCTTCCTATGAGGGACGCCACAAGCCGGCTCCAGTTCCGGATAAAACGGCTTCAACCACTGCTCCGGTCAAACCGAAGGATAAGCCAAAGGATAAGGGCAAGGACAAGGGAAAGGATAAGGATAAAGCCAAGGATAAGGGCAAGGAGAAAGATAAGGAGCGCAAGGGATCGAAGGGCCATTAGTACCACTTTGGAGTCTTATATTTTGGAAAATCGAAATCAATTAAAATTATATAGTTTTATTTACTTAATATAATGTTTATAAACATTTATTTTATGTCATTTAGTCCACACAACACTACCTGTAGGGTAAAATTAAATCTTACATTAAATTAATTTTCTAACCTCAATTTAATTTAATTTTTTTATATCATACATAAATTTATAAAAGTTTTTCCATTATTATAGGCTTATCCGGAGGTTAAATATAAATTTTTAAAAAGCTTTTTCTTCATCATTTGAATAACCGAATTCACTAACCATAGGTTAAACAGTTTGTATAATCCTAATTTAAGCACTAGTAGGTACTATATATAATATATTTCGAGCACATTTTCGTCATCATTGAATAATATTAATACCAATTTCATTAACCTCAGGTTAGCTCATTTGTATGATACATTGCTGATGTAAAATTTGTCCACTAGTAGCTAATATATATATATATAATTTATCACCACATTTTCTTCATCATTTAAATACCATTAAATATTTTACAATACTCACTATCCTCGGGTTAACTCATTTGTACTATACACTACTCATACCATCATTCTCATCTTCATCTCATCCCACCTGCATTCCCATCTCCGTTCGTTCCGCTAATGTAACAAGTGAACCTGAAAGCCACCCACTCCATCCAAAATCCAACCATGTCGCAAACAGCCCTCCCGGAACTGAGCTACACGCCTGGGGACTTGACGGAGCCGCAGTTCCGGTTACCCTCGCACCAGCAGCTCCTCGACCAGAAGCGGGATAGCTTCGATAATCTGCCCCTGAGTCGCCTCAACTTGGACACGAGGGATACGCAGCCCATCAAGTATCGGGAGCAACTGGGTTCGGCGGCGGGTCGTCAGTTTCCCGCCTTGGCAGCGGCCCAGAATCGCTACTCGGATCACTTGGAGCGCGGTAGTGAGCTCAGCTTTGCCGTTTTGGAGCCGGGCAAGGATCTCATCTCACTGCCAACGGTGGGTGTGCGAAACTTTGACACCGATCCGGATTTGATCAAGAAAATGCCGCTGCACTCGATCACGGAGAAGCCGAACGAGCGGTGTCCATCGCCGGTGGTTCCGGCCTATGCCAACTTCGAGCTGGCCAAGCGGATGCACCAGGACAACCTGGATCACCAGCCGCTGCCCGATTGTGTGGCGGACTTGGCCTTCCGACGGGCACAGATCTCCGGCGGACATGCCGGTCTCGCCCTGGACATCGATCCCATTGCCACGGGCGTGGGTGTGAAGACCCACAATGCGGGACCAACGCACTGCACCAAGATGAAGGTGTTCCGCCCGAAGACCGGCGGTGGCATTGTGCCCCGAGCCCTGGGCATGGGGGATCCCTTCCGGGGAGTTGGCTCGGCACCGGCCAAGAAAATGGGTCCAATGGATCTGGCCATTTGCTGGGACTTCAAGCCGGCCAATCCCGCAGATGAGCCACGTCTGGCCAGGCATATAGATGGATCCAATGACTCGGCTGGACCGGCGGTCTTCACCTGCGTGAAAACGCCTCGCGAGGAGCAATCCTCCTCCGACCTGGGCAGATCCGCCGGTGTCTTTACCAGCACCCTGGGTGAAGCGGATTTCTTTGACAAGGACATCCTGCGGAAGAGGACGGATTTCGGGGGTGCCCGCTTGGATCGCGAGGGTCCGTGTGCCTGCGATTACTCGCCGCCGTCAAGGCAAAGAGCACGAAGTGTCTCTCGGGACTCCAGTGCCTCGCATTGCAGGCGAGGATCGGGCATCGGGGGACCGAATGGCGGAGTGAGCTTTGGCAACCTGGCGGAGTTACCCGGTCGCGGAATGCCCGATCGACTGGCCAAGCAGTATCAATCGTCGCCCCTGCTGGGCGATAAGGATTATCAGGCTCTGAGGGAGAAGTACTTGGGTCCGTCCTCTGCCCAGGATTGCCAGCCGATGAACTGCAGGCCAACGGGAGAGCCACCTTGCAAGCGGGATGTCCTACTGCGACGTCCTGCCCGTCGCCTTTGCCACAAGGTGGCCCCAGCTCCGCGCTGCTGTCCACCTGCATTTGGTGGCCATGGACACGGTCATTGCCTGACCAGCAAGACGGCCTTTCGAGCCGGACTTCCGAAGCACAATGCTTCCGGGGATTTCGTGGGCATAGAGCCCGGCTGTGGAGGGGGCGGCGGTGGAAGGGTCCTGGTCGTGCCACGCCCCCGGCAGCCCTACTCCAAAAAGAACTACGACATCGAGACCCTGGTGCCGCCCTTCCAGAGCCAAGCTGGCGGAGCCGGACAAGGTGGCTATCCGGAGCACTGGCGACTGGCCAGTGTCTACCAGCACGCCTACAAGCCGATCGACCAGCGAAGGCGACCCCTCCTACAAACAGTCTACAAGTAGAGCCATGAACAAACTAAGTCTGTCCTCTGAGACTCGTCTAGATTTTCCCATTACAATTGTCCGTATAAAGAGTTGTCCGCTCAAGAGAATATCAACCAAAATGAAGTGATTCCCTTAAAGCTATTGGCTATCAAGTGTCTGCTCAAACATAATAATTAAAAACATATTTAAGGTAACAGTAAGGAAAGATATAAATAAAACTAACAAAGATTTTTGTAAGAAAATAAAAAAAAATCTCTACATCACAACAACATTTTCGGAGTCAAAAAGAGGAGTTTAAATTACTCTCAATTAAAGTTATAGCTTGTTTTAACGTAAGAATTGTTACCTACTGAAATTTATAGATTTAAGAAGTTCTTGAGAAAATTCACTTATACCACAATATACAATTTTCCATTATTGTGGAAAAATACATGACGAAAATTGATGCGACTATAGCTGTACACAAAAATAAGTTGTATTACTACCCACAGAACCATCGGTCCAAAAATAGGCTAAGGTATTGCCCAAAAGATAATCTTTCCCCGATTTCGGTCTACCGAAATACATTAATCTCATTTCCCCTTTTTATTTTGTTATTTTCTCTTCAAATAAGTAGAAAATCACTTCGCATACAAGTTCATGTAAAAAACAAATGTTATATATTAACAAGATGTAGAAAACATACATATATGAATAAACGTTCAAGCATCAAGCAAAAATTAGAAAAAATATGTAGTTTTTTAACTGCTATAACAAAAGTAATTGTCTGATCGAAGAATGCCACACCTCGTTGAACTCGTTGTTTAATTTCCAATCCATTAGCATTCAAAGCTGGAAAATTTTAATTTTTGACATTTTTTTCAAAAAATCACGATGCACCCCCTGTAAAAAATGCGAAAATGGATCAAAAAATAAATTTTCCTTAAAATGGTTGGGATCGTTAGCAGAGCTAGCAAGCTGCTCAAAACAGTCGGTTTTTTGGCTGTACGACTTCATTTGGCTAAACTAAACGAAAAACTGGAAAGAAAAATCGTATTTTTGACTAAAATGTGAATATCGTGTTTTTGATAAAAATCTGATACCCATTTTTTCGCCATAAAAATTCAGTTTTTTGGCTGCTATAACAAAAATATTCGTCAGATCGAAGAATGCCATACCTCGTTGAACTCGTTGTTTAATTTCCAATCCATTGGCATTCAAACCTGGAAAATTTTAATTTTTGACAATTTTTTCAAAAAATCACGCTGTAAAAAATGCGAAAATGGGTCAAAAAATAAATTTTCTTTAAAATGATTGGAATCGTTAGCATGGCTAGCAAGCTGTTCAAAACAGTCGGTCTTTTAGCTATACGCCTTCATTTGGCTAAACTACGATCGAAAAACTGGAAAGAAAAATCGCATTTTTGACTAAAATGTGAATTTCGTTATTTTGACCAAAATCGAAACCATTTTTTCGCCCTAAAAATGCAGTTTTTTGGCTGCTATAACAAAAATATTCGTCAGATCGAAGAATGCCATACCTCGTTGAACTCGTTGTTTAATTTCCAATCCATTGGCATTCAAACCTGGAAAATTTTATTTTTTGACCTTTTTTTCAAAAAAACACGAAAAAAACCGCCTGTAAAAATTGCGAAAATGGGTCAAAAAATAAATTTTCTTTAAAATGATTGGAATCGTTAGCTTGGCTAGCAAGCTGTTCAAAACAGTCGGTCTTTTAGCTGTACGCCTTCATTTGGCTAAACTACGATTAAAAACCCGAAAAGAAAAATCGAATTTTTGAAAAAAAAATGCGAAAATGGGTAAAAAAATAAATTTTCCTTAAAATGATTGGGATCGTTAGCATAGCAAGCAAGCTGCTCAAAACAGGCGGCCTTTTAGCTGTACGATAAACTACGATTAAGATACCGCTAGGAAAAAGATTATTTTTGACCAAAATTTGAGGGGCTTTCCTAATTTCGCTATACCAAAATTGTTTTGTTTCCCGTTTTTTGTTGTTATTCCCTTCATATAAGTAGAAAATAATTTTGAGTACATCCAGTTAAGGTAAAAACAAATGTAATATATCAAAAGTTGTAGGCAAACATACATATAAGAATAAACGTGCAAACATCAAGTACTTAAAATTCTAAACATTGTGTGAATAAATTTGCAGCAAGTTTTTAAGGGAGTTCCCCTGAATATAAAAAAAAGTATGTCTTAAAACTATTTTATAACTCATCATCTTTAAAAAATTTTAGATGAATTGGTTTTTCTGATGAAAATAGAAAACCTTTCGGTTTGCTGGTTTTGTGTGACAATCTTTGGGTGCATTTAAGAAACTTAACTAGGTGCTGAAAAATAGATTTTAAAGAAGCAAAAACCTTGATGAAGTGGGTCGATTTCGAATGGGAACAGAAATAAAAAGAGTTAGTAAAACAAGGATATCTAAATATCAACTTTTAACAAATGGAAATTTCAATAATGCCAAATTCAGCTTTATAATAATGGGAAATCAAAATGGGAAATAATGATACAGGAATTTAAGAACTGTAGATATTTCTATATTGACTCCTTGATAGTTTTTAAGTCCCCCCCAAACCGACCCACTCCGATCCCGGGGGCCACCTCACTTGGCGGTGGCGTAGGCATCGTGGCTCTTGTGGAACACATGGCGCAGCACGTCCCGCGTGGACCGCCGGATGCTGTTCCTCAGGGTGTGCTTCTTCTCGTTGGTCAGCTGCTCGATGGTCATGTACTCGGTTTGGGCCACATTCGAGCGCAGCTTCATCGTCCGCTCGCTGGTGTCGATAATGGATATGTCGGCGAGCACGGGTTCCATCTGGTTGTCCACCTCGGCTGCCTTCTGGGGCCTCCGCCGCAGGCTGTGCCGAATGCTATGGAGTATGTTGTTGTGATGATGATGGCTTGGAGCATCTGCATCCTTATCCTCCAATTTCTCGGGAGACGTATGCGTGGGATGCATGAGTCTGCGTATGGACTTCCGTATCATGCCCTTCATGCCGCCACTGGGTTTCACCTCGGCCGACTTCGAGGATTTGCTGGATCCGATGGAGTGGAGTGACTCCTTGCTGGCCGCCTTGGTGGGCAGAGCAGCAGGTCTGTAGGCCCGAACGAAACGTGTGGGTGCCTTGAAGTCCAGGTCATCGGGTTCGTCCTCGGATTCGTCCGAGGCATAGGCCACATCTTCGGCTGGGGCTTCCTGCTGTTCCTCGAGGTTCCTTTGCTCTTGCAGCTGCTTCTCCAGCAGCTCCTCCTCCAGTTTCTCCTTCTCCAGCAGCTTAACCCTCTCCTGGAGCTTTTCCTTCAGCTGTTCGTGCAGCTTCTCCTGCAGCTTCTCCCGCTCCAAGTGCTTCTCCCTCTCCAGGAGTTTCTCCTGCTCCAATTGCTTCTCCCTGGCCAAATGTCTTTCCTTCTCCAGCTGCATCTCCTGCTCCAGAATCCTCTCCTGCTCGCGTAGCTTCTCTGCCTCCAAGTCCTTCTTCTCCTCCTCCACCTCGGGCGTCTCACTAATTTCGGTGAGAGTGCGTCTCCGGGTGCAAACCAGACGTCTCTCCACTTGGCTGTCTCCTTGAGCCACCTCCTGCATCACTAGCTCTTGGGAATCCGTCTCCATGACCAAGGATACCTTGGTGTTCTTGGGTAACTCCACTTCCAAACTGTTCCTGGGCACCTCCCTGTCCACCTGGACACCATTCTTCCGCAATTTCGCCTCGTTGATGCTGTTCTCCAGCTCCAGTTGATAGCGATCCAGCTCTTTGCCAATATCCATGGAGGATTCCTCGCTGATGGCGCCCAGAGATCTCTTGGGCGCCGGGACGGGCGAGAACACCAGCTTCTCGGCCAGCAATTTGCTGGGAGTCAGCTGGGCCAGCGACATGCCATGGAAATCGATGCGACAGCCCAGGGTGGGGGTGAAGGGCAGCCCGATCTTCAAGTTGGTGGGCAGCGGCTCCTCCGTATCCCTCTCGGCCAGAGCGGGATTCGCCACACCCGAGGGATTGCAAGCCGCCTCGGAGGCCTCACTTGGCCTATGGATCTCGAAGGGATTCAGCGAGGCTGGGGCATCGCTGCCGCGCAAATTCAGGCCAGGATTGACGAAGCCCTTGGCGGGCGTGGCTGCCGAGCGGACGACCTGAAAAAATTAAGGGAAGCTTAGTTCATTTCGAAGATAGGATTGTATATTACATAAATTGTATCTAATTGAAGTTGAAGATACAGAATTTTTTTCAAGAAAAAGATACAATTGTAATAAATTAAAAAAAAAACCTTTTTTTATTATAATGCAAATATTAAATTTATATTGTCCTTCTGTTTAGTTAGGAAGCTTTTTATAATTCTAATGTAAGATATACATTTTTAAATTTTATTTATTAATATTCTACTTTAATATTGAATAGAAGTGTAAACTTCAAAATAAGCATATAATTAGTAATTTAATAAGAGCTATAAATATCAAATTTATTATGTCATTAAAATAAACAGAATTTAAAAATATGTACATGTACTACACTTAAAAATTTTATTAAATAATTATAAATAGTAAAATAAATAGTAGCCAAAACAAATTAAATTTTTAAAGGGAAACAAACTTCAAATTATAAAAAATATTTCATAAAATACAGAAATTAAGTAACAAAATATTTGAATGATGTATAAATATAATATCAAATAAGATGAGTACATACTGTACCCAAAACCAGGTGAAAAGTACACCCATGTACATATGTAGTTCTCAACTGGGAAACTCACCTCATAGGGATTGAACTGCTTCTCGGGCAGTTCCAAATTCAGGCCAGGATTCTCGAAGCAGGCCAGTTGCTCGCGCTTCTTCTTCTTGGGCGGCTGACGCAGTACCTCGAACGGATTGGTGGGCAGCTGCTCCTGGGCGAGATCGGCTATGGACTTGACCTCCAAGCCGGGAAAGGGATTCGGATGGGGATTGCTATTCTCCTTGGCCAAACGACGGCGACCAATCATCAGTTTCTTCGGAGTGGAACTAAAGGCCGCGTTGGTGAAGCAGGATTCCGTGGCAGACGCGACAGCTGCATCCTGTGCGTGGATGTGCGACACCTGGGCGTTCTTTCCCAGGGGTTGTTGTTGTGGATTCGGGGGCGGGGCAGTATTACCACTCAGCGTCTCCCTTTTGCGCTTGCGCGGCGTCTCTGTAAAAGCCAAGGCAGCTATGCTCTTCGTTTCCAACATCCTTTCAAGTCACTCTCTGTATCTTATTAGTTTATTTTATTAACTTTTAGCTGGAGTAAAATCGTTTCAACAAGCAGCGAGCAGCAATTATAAACAACCAAATACGACACAAAATGCCATTTTGAAAATCCTTCAGGCAGCTGGAACCGATTGCTTCGTTAACCAACTCTGGACGCGAACCGGTTCAGCTAGAAATGCCACGATATGTTATCGATTGTTACTGCTAAAGTTAACAGATGTTAAAACCAGGTATGTTACATTTGAAGACTCCAAAAAATAACAGATTTAATAAGTTTTTGTTATTCATAATAATAGTTTATATTTATCTTAAGATAATGTACAAGATTAGTAAGAAGTGTTTTAAAAGTAGTTTAGTTTATACATATAATATTGATATAAATAATAATACTTCACAAAAACGATATGAGAAATATTACCAAAACATGAAGTACTTTAAAACATTTTGTTTTTGTTTAAATAAATTAAATACAATAAAATATGTAGATATATTTTCCCATTGCACGACCGTTGAAAATGCAACCGCCAAACTATCGCATTCCGATATTGATTAACGATAGCCTCGCACAAATTGCATCTGTCGATAACGATTCATGGCATCATTTCCGATATTATATTTTTAAAACAAGACACTAAAATCCCTTTTCAATTTTAGAGGATTTCTACAGGACAGTTCGCTTTTAAATTAAAGTAGAAATGTGGATTAATTAGCGGCAAGTCAGTTGATCCAGAGCTCTTGGTGGGCAAGCCAATTTGCCACTCAAAAAGTAAACAATTCCAATACACAAAACGCAGCTTGCTGCGTAGAAAACTGCCAATAAACAAACAAATAAACTGGATACGCATTGAGAAACAAGAGTGGGCTACTCCAGCACAGACGAAATGTCCAATTCCCGGCACCGCAAACCGGCAAAATCCTCCCGCGTGCCGCCGCAGGCCAGGGAATACATCACGGAATTGGCCGAGGATCGGGAATTGGAGCGATTCATGGCCTTCTCTTCGACGGCGAGCAGTGGAGCCAGTGGCAGCACGCACAGTTGTGCTCTGGGAACCGTCCTGCCGCCAGGAATCCCCTCCACCGCTAGTGGCTGCGCCAGGGAACATGGGTCCCGACCCCAATCCAGTCACAGGCGCCGCACGAAGAGCAAGGGGTGTCCACCGGCCAGTGGAGAAGCAGAGGAGCACCTCCTGGAGCTGCCACCTACACCACCAACCAGCAAACCCAGTCTCCCCCAGCTGAGTCCACAGAAAACCCAAGGAACCCAAGCGAAATCCGATGAATACACCATAATACCTATTGTAATGTCCAGAAGCCCAAGTTTACGCCCAGCGGCGGCCACTCAAACCATGTCCCTATCCGTGGAGGATCTAAGGACACCCACCAAGCAGCCCAAGGAGATGCAAACAAAGAAAACCCAAACGCCGGAGTCGGCTTTAAAGTCACACAAGCGCCTGGAATGGGATCCCGCGGCCGATGTGGGCTACTACAAGAGGGCGGTGTCCACCAGCAACATCAGCACCCTGGAGCGTTCTGTTTTGGAGGAGTGCGGGTGGCGCCAGCCGATACAGCAGCGATCTGAGACTGATTTGGACAGGTTACACCATCGGGAGGCAGAGGAGCCGTCGCCCATGCCGGATAAACCGGCGCCACCACTGGCCTCCAGTACTTTCGTCAACCGCAGCGAACGTGGGAAGCCCTCGAGCTCCAGAATGGGGTCTCTGGGCAGTTCCATAAGCTCTAGGAAGGAGGATTCGCAGGAGATTTCCCATAGCAGATCTAAAAAGGAGGATTCTGGCAGTAGCTCCCGGCCAAAGGATTCCCACAGCAGTTCAGCAAAGGAGTCTACCCATGGCAGTTCCTTAAAAGAAGCTACCCAAGGCAATTCAACGAAAGAGGATACCCACAAAAGTTCTAGGAAAGAAAAAAACCAGAACAGCTCCCAAAAAGAAGATACCCAAAACAGCTCCAAGCGAGAGGCTTCCCAAAGTGGCTCCAAAAAGGAGGACTCCCTCGGCAGCTCCAAGAAAGAGGAACTAAGGCTCAGCTCACGAGTACAAGATCCACAGGTCAGTTCCCGCCGAGCGTCACAGTGTAGCTCGCAAAAGGAGTCACTGGGCAGTTACAGAAGGGACGACTCCCGGCTCAACTCGCAGAACAGCTCCAGAATGGGATCGCAAAGTAGCTCAAGAATGCTGAACTCGCGTTCCAGTTCTAGGCGGGAATCTCAGGCCACCTCGCTATACGGCAGTTCGGCGGCCAGTAGCTTCGATTACCACATATACATGGAGCAAGAACTGGAGATTGCCAAGCAGGAGCAAAAGAAAACCCAACAGAAGGAAAATGAGCCGAAGGAGCAGCCGGAAAAGTCTCTGCGACCAAGGGAGCAAAAAAAGAAGGAACAACAAACAAACCATCATCACGAGAAGGAAAAAAAAATAGTTCAGCATCTCGCCAAAGAGCAAAGAAAAGCTGAACAGCGGGAAAAGGAGCGCGAACAGGAGCGTCAGTACACGGCGGCCCAATTCGAGAAGATCTTGGGCAGTCGACGGCACGATAACAAGGAGAACCAGCAGCCACAGGTCCCAGCTGCCAACGTATCCACCGCCGCAGCCGCCTCCACATCCTCCTCTTCAATAGGAATTGCATCAGGATCGGGTCACCGAGGGGAACTGGATCTGGGAATCGATTTGCTGTGCTCGCTGGTAAAAACTCGCAGTCTCAGCCAGGGACAGAAAAAGAAACTCGTTAGGGATATAGCCAGGCGTATTTCCTGCCTGGATTTGGCCGAGTCTGGCAGCAGTTTACGTTCCCTGAGAAGCAATCAGTCCAGCAACACAAAGGAGCAACTTAAAGGTGGGTAAATCGTTTAACCAACAAAATCCCCCCCTAACTCTTGACTTTTTACAGAGCCAATTCCCTTGCAGCGGCATGATATGGCTACCAATACGTCGCAAGCTGGTTCGGTGAGATCTCTTAAAGGAGAGCCTCCAGCTCTGCCAGTTCCCGCTCCTCGAAAGCGTGGAACTGCCGGCACACCTTCACCACTGCCCACAAGTTTCTCAAACAGTGGCTCAACCAGCGCCTCACACGAGGTGATTACCCAAAAGACCAATGTACCCACTCGCGATGCAGCCTCCACGGATGCAGATGCAGAGGCCGAGCCCTCGGATCTGCAGGAGTGGCTGAATCCCATGACCCAAAGCGAAATAGAGTATGAGCAGCGTTTAAAGGGAGGCGGAGATTCGGAGCGGAGGAACCAGCTTAACTGGATCCACACGGAGATTCGACGCCTGCAGGCGTTGCAGAAACTTTTGGGCGATACCAAAACCATTTTGCCAAGCAGTTCTATGCAAATCGAAACGGGCAAGGGATCCGATTGTTCCAATGGAAAATTAACTGTGCCTTCGGTGCAAATGCCAGGCCTAGAGAGATGTAGCAGTGGCCAGGAGAAGCCATATATCGTGGCAAAGTTGCCAGAAGGAATGCCAGCTGAAGCATACGCAGAGGTGGAAAATCCGGAAACACCAACCACTCCCCAGCCTCCAGTAAGAATGGAATCGGTGGGTGCGGCACCCAAGGAGCTGCCTTCGACTTCTACGTCCATAGCCACACCGCCGCCGCCACCACCACCGCCTCATCTTAACCAGCCAAAGCCACAAAATCGCAAGAAGATGGCCACCCCTGTACTCCAATCGAATAGTTCCACAAGCGGCGGTGGCCGCAGCGAAAGCGTTTGCTCCTTTGTCCAGCAAAGGCAGCGACAGTTCCGCGAGCACTATCAAAACCAGCAGCAACAGTTGCTCTTGTTGCAGCAACAACAACTTTACCAGCAGCAGCGGCAACTCTACCAGCAACAACAGCAACAGCAGCAACAACTCTTCAAACAGAAGCAGCCGCATCATGGTCACCAGGAAACATATGCTCATCAGCAGCATTGCCCGGTAAGGAAATCACAGGACTATATCCTTCTACCTCTTGCTCATGCCATCTCTTTCTTTTTCACAGCAATACCAGAGGCCTGAGCAGGGAACACACCAGCAACACGAGGAACAAGAGCAATACCTGCAGATGCAGTACGCCCAGGCGGCGGGCAGTACCTATGCCACGCCACATTTGAGTGGCAGCGCTGGCTATAGCTGTGCGGATAACGAGGGAGCCATCTACTATCAGGTGGTGAACTCTCAGGCAGCATCCAGCTATGTGCAAGCAGCCATGGTGGTCACAAGAACAACACCAAACGAGGGAGCTGCAGCAAGAGGAGCAGGAGCAGCAGCAGGATCGGGAGTTGGCAGATCCACTACAACCACTACCAGTTCGTCGGCTTCCATGATGTGCATCAGTTCGGATATGTCCATACCCATGGGCATGGTCAATACCTGTGAGACCACCACAACGACCACCACCCATCAGTACGACGATGTGGCCTGCCAGCGGGTCAGAAGAATGGCCAAGGAAGCAAGGCGAAATCCAGAGAGTATGCAGCGACAGACGCTGCAAGTTCGCCCCAGTGCCATTGCCTATGTCATCCAGTTCACCTCGTCGGGGGACAGTGAGGTGCTGCCCGAGACGCGATCCCTGCAGGATCAACTGCAGCTGGCCCGTCCCGAATTCTGTGCCAAGTCCAAACAACGCAAGGCCATACTTAACCAAATGCAGATGATCCGGAACGTTAGACGGCGGGAGATGGACGATCTGCTGGGCGAGAATACCAGCTTGGAGACGTTGGACAGGCGACTGCTTCAGCTGCCACCACCGGCCACTTGTATGTTATGATTAGAAGGCAACCTCTCATGAGAAAATTAACCAAGTCACCTCTTCCACAGCTCGTTTGAGGATTTTTACCACCAGAGAAATGAAGGCCATGACCACCAAGCGTTGTAAAAGTTTGCCGGAAGTGCTGGCCGCCCAAAATCGCCAACTGGAAGAACGAAGGCGTCGCTGCAATCGTCTGATGCGGGATGTCTTCAATAAGGTAAGGGACTCCCCTTACTTTATATTAACATGTTATCTCATAAATAACAATAATCCCAAATCCCCTTAGCGCCTTCAAAGTCGCGTGGCCAACGGACAGCTCTCGCTAAATCACAGCAGGACAATCATCTAGCGAAGATCGAAATATGAATGCCATGGAACAGGAGAAATGACACCCCAGTACACAGCCCACCAGTTTAATTTTTATTTTGCCATTGCCAGGCTTTTTATTTGTTTAACTCTTAAACTAATTGTAAAACCGCGAAATGAGGTTTGGTTAGGTTTATAGGAAATGTTAAAAATTAGTATAGGATAGTTAACCACATACAAACATAAACTTATACGTTTATAACGTAAAATCAGCATTTATCTAAATTTATAATGTTTTTAAATTAAATAAATTTATCAACAGGGTTTTTGTTTCGTACAATTCAAATTGATATTGCAGTGTTGCCATAAGTAAATATTTTATAGTGTGAAATTGCGCTTTTTTAATAAATGGTAACACTGTTTACCGCCAAATTTAAAGTAAGTCGTTATCTGTAAAGATAATATTGTTTGGATACACTACATGTAAAGATCCAGAATTTATCACTCTGATTCTTAGAGTTAGGATATCTAAGGGATTTCATGTGATGACAATAAAAAAAGGCTTTTTCCCCATGCTCAAATACTATGTCCTTTTTTTAATCCAAGTCTAGTCTTTTTAAAAACCTTTACCTATCCCCATAAAATAAAACCATCTTTGATTGTTTGTTCTTTCATCGTTATTTTATTTGAATTCAATTTGTAATCCATTCTCGTTGCGTGTGTCTTTCTGAGTTTACAATTAAGTACACTTTTACAGTTTTAAGTACATTTATAATCGCTAAGTACATAGTTTAATTTGTTCAGTAGTTTGTTGCTGCTGCATCCACATTGAATATAACCGATACATATTATATAATATAGTGGGGTGTGCTTTTTATAAATATCTATATATATATATAGGCATGCATTGGGTAAATTTAATTTCGTTTATTTTCGTTTAGCTTAAACAACGCTACAAACGCGAAATGCTTTGGTTATTGCTGTAAGAAGTCCACTAATTTAATTATATAAGAATCATGCTTTTCGTATATTTAAATAGCTATATTATATAATGTATTTTATAAATGTATGTGTGTGTGTGTTTGTTTGTTTTATAGGCTACAGCAATGAATGAGTTTCGTAAGTAGGATCCTAAAAAAAATGTATCTAAGCCTAGTCTTACGAATACCTGACTATACTTAGTTGCAAGCAGCACACTTTCGTCTGCGTTCGTCCTTATATAACTAGGTTTAAGCCACGCTGCGGTTCTCAAGGCCTCTTTCAATGTACATTACATAATATTATATTACTTTAGGTGTGTATTTTTGTCTTTTGTGTCAAGTCTTTTTTTTGTCATGCTAAATGTTCGTTGTTTTTCGGTTTTTTTGTTTCTTTTTTTTTGTCATTGCAGCTACTTAAAGGTAATTGTAAAATATGTATAATTAATTATAAAGCTAGGAAAAAAAAAATTGTTAAAAAAAATAGTGTTTGTCTCCAAAGATTTTGATTAGCTTGTGTGTTTGGTTGGTTGGACCGCTTAACATAGGGGTTGGCAAAAAAAAGAGGTCTCCAAAAAAAAAAGATATTGGTTTAAATGGTCTATAAAACAGGGTTCTTCAGCTAGGACTCCTTATATTTTCCTCGAGCCTGTGGCTCTTTTGCTTGAACAAATATAATGGAGCTGTTCTGGACTTCCCTATTTTCTTTTCAAATTTTAACTTCCTTATAGACTTCGGTTCTAAAATGATTTTATAGACTACCATTAATGAAAACTATTTAAGCTTTGGTATACGTAAGGCGGTGTAAAACTGCTGCTACTCCAGAATCAGAATTTATGGCTGTGGGTTCGATCCCAGTTGCTCCCTTCCCCCCTTCCGGATTACTTGTTGTCCACGCCCAGGAGCTTGGCCGCCTCGTCGGCGGAGGAGAGCAGCTTGTTGAGGATGCCCTGGTCGCTGATCCCCAGCAGGTTGCCAATCAGATCCGAACCGGCGACGGCTGCCGCCGAGGGTGTGGCCTCGCCCATGTTCTCCTTGTGCTCGCCCAGCCGACTGGCCCGCCATTCGCTCGCCTTGTCCAGCAGCTCATGCAGCTTGGGCAGCTTCAGGCCCAGCTTGGAGCTCCCAATGTTGTTGTTGTTGTTGTGGCAGCTGTTGTTGTTGTTGGCGCTGGTGGGCTGGCCGGGATTGGGCAGAGGCAGTTGCTGAGGCAGTGGAGCCGGTGTGCTGGGCGGACTGGCCACCTGCTCATCATCGGAGCAATCGGAGCCCGGTGTGTCCCCATTGTGGGCCCGACCACTGTGCTTCTTCATGTGCCGCAGCATGCTGTGCTTCAGGGTGAACTTCCTCAGGCAGATGTCGCACTGGAAGGGCCTTTCGCCCGAATGGGTGCGCATGTGGCGACGCAGATCCTCGGTGGACCAAAAACGGCGCACGCAGAAGGCACAAATCACCTTGCGGTTGCTATAGTCCGGATACTTGCCACGACCCCCGCCATTGGCGGCCTCATCGTCCGAATGCACGGCCGACTGCTGGGACATCGGCTGGTGGGGATTGGGCCCCTCCAGGGACTCGTTCTCGATGGCACCCTTGGCCAGCAGCAGGGCGAACTCATGGGCATGGGCCTGCTTGATGTGCTCCAGGCACTGCAGACGCTCGCCAAAGGAGCCCTCGCACAGGTGGCACTTGTAGGGCAGATCTCCGCCAGCGAGTGCATCTCCCAGTGGGCCATTCGGTGCTCCACCATTGCCATTGCCCAGCGAAGATGCAGCTGCAGCGGCGGCGGCGGCGGCAGCGGCATTGGCAGCGGCATTCATTTGGGCCGCCAGTTTTTGGATGAGCTGCTGGCGTTCCCGCTCCTTCTCCAGCTCACGCTCCTTCTCCCGCTCCAGCTCGCGCTCCCGTTCCAACTCCCGCTCCCGCTCCAGCTCACGCTCCTTCTCGCGCTCCGCCTCCTGCCGCCGGCGCTGCTCCTCCAGCTCGATCTCCTCCACGGACTTGGGCACCGGAATCGGCTCGCTCACATCCTCGGTGGGCACATACACCGACATGGCCGACTCCACGTTGCCGTGCTTGCGCAGCAGATGGCGGTCGCAGTTGCTCTTGGTGGTGAACAACAGGGGGCAGTGGGAGCACTTGAAGGGCTTCTGGCCGGTGTGGGTGAGGATGTGCCTGCGCAGCGAGCTGCTCCAGGGGAACATCCGCTGGCAGTAGGGGCAGGAGACGCGGTTGGGCGCCAAGCTATAGGCGGACTTCTTCTTGGGCTCGCTGCCGGAACTGCTGCTGGTCACATCCTCGGTGCCGCTGTTGTTGCTCTCGCTGGCGCTCCCGGAGGCCACCAGGCCCTCCTCGTCGCTCTGCTCCATGTGGTTAGCCACATCGCTGGGCCGGAAATAGCTGTTGAAGCTCATGTTCTGACTGGTGGCGTTGTCCACCAACTTGGCCACCGGCACCAGATCCTGCGACTCGTCCTTGAACGGCGAACTGGCCACCTCTTTCAGGGACTTACCCACGGACTCGGCCTGGGCAATCATGGTCTTCAGGCTGCTGGGATTGCTGGTGGCGGCTGGTTCCTGCATGGTGGTGACCACCTTGGTGTCAACTGGCGGGGTATTCTCCTGGGGCGGCGGACTGGTTGGTTTGCCCGCCTTGATGGCCTGCTCCAGGATAGTCTCGGCCATCTTCTGGGCCGCCTCATTGGTGGGCGCCACCAGGGACAGCTGCTCCAGCGGCTTGGGCAGCTCAGGCTCTTCCTGCTCCTCTTCCTCCTCCTCGACTGGCTGCTCATCCGGGATCAGCTCGGGCTCCTCCTCCGGCTCATCCATCTCCTCTTCGTCCTCGTCCTCCTCGAAGTCATCCACCTCCTCCGGCTCCACCTCATCATGCTCGTTGTCATCCTCGTCGATGATCAGCTTGGGCTCATCGTCGTCCATGGTGATGGCCTGGCCATTGCCCTGGCCGGAGCCATTGTGCAGGGGACTGGGTGTGGCCAGTGGGTAGCCGAAGTGCAGGAGGGGATTTCCGGCCACACTGCTGGAACCATGGGCCAAAGCTTGCTGCAGCAGATCGGTGTTCTTGTGGGCCTTCAGTTGCTGGGCGAGAATGGCGTACTTGACCTGCTCCGAGATGGGAGCATGTCCATGGGAGCCATGGCCATGACTATGATGGTGATTGGAGCCGGCGGAGGCAGCAGATCCTGGACCCATGGCAGCTGCAGCGGCGGCGGCGGCGGCAGCAGCGGCTGCGGCACTGGAGGCTCCTCTGCCCCTCATCACATGGTGACCGCTCCTCTGGCGCTGGGCATAGAACTGCGGATGCTGCTGCTTCACATGGCGTTCCATGTTTGAGCGCAGGGTGAATCTTGCCGAGCAGTGCTCGCAGGCAAAGGGACGCTCGGTGCGATAGCGACGCTGCTTCTGCTTGGGCATCAGGACTCCATTCTTGATGACCATCTTGACAGGGCCACCAGGTGGCACTGGGACACCCACGCCCACTCCCACTGGCAGGGGATTCATGCGATTGGGTGGACTCACCAGCGGTGGCTTCTCGGGATTGGCCTGAGGCGGCGGTGGTGCCATGAAGGGAAAGAAGGGGAATCCCGGTGTCTGGGACTGGAACTGGAACATGCGGAACAGCTGCTGCATGTACTGGGAGGCGGCATCTCCGCCAGCGCCGAAGAGCTGCTGCTGGGCCAGGAGTAGTTGCTGCTGCTCCAAAGCGGCGGCAAGGTCGGCAGGGGCACCCACACCCGGAGCCACAACTCCAGGGGCGGGCGTGGGCGGAGTGGGTGTGACCGAGGGTGTGAGGGCTATTGCTCCACCAGTTGGCTTCTTGCTGAGATCCAACACATCCATGCTGAAGTCCAGGGCAGCTCCTATCTTCTCCTGGAGCTGCTGCTGTGGAGCCGGAGCAGCTGGCTTGGCTGGCTTCTTATCCACCAGCTGGTCGAGACTCTTCACCTGGATCTTCAGAGGCGGCTGGGCCACCGGAGCCAGGTGACTCTCGCCCAGGAGCATGTGCTTCAACTGGGAACTGCTGCTCTCGCCACTGATGATGACCGGCGGAGGCGGTGGCGTGGGACTGATGGAACGGAAACTGAGATCGGCCAGATCCTCGCCCAGACGCGACTTGCTGTCCTCGCAGCCGGCATCCTCCGCCGGATGGTAGACAATGGCCCGCTTCACCTCGTCCCGACTGGTCTTCCCGTGCCGGTTCCTCAGGTGGCGCTCGCAGTTGGCCTTGGTGGTGAAGGCATAGTTGCAGACGGCACACTCGTAGGGACGATCCCCGTTGTGGGTGCGCATGTGGCGCACCAGGGCGGCCTTGTCGCAGACGGCATGGGGACACATGTTGCAGCGGAAGGGTCCGGCTGGACCCACTGCACCCAGATGCACTCGGTTGTGACCCTTGAGGGCGCGCAGATTGGGAAAGACGGCGCTGCACAGCTTGCAGGGGAACTCACCGCGTAACTTCATCCTGCGGAACTCCGAGGTAAACGCATCCTGGGCCTCCTCCTCCTGATCCCTGCCATCCAAACTGTACTGACTGGAACTGGGCGTGTTCACCGAC